GATCCTTGTGGAAATATCACCAATTATTAATTAAAGTATCCTCTTTTTAATGCAAAAAGCCGTTTTGAAAAATTACTTTTAGTTCTTGAGAAAACAATTTTTGAAATGATCGACTATTTTTTCGAATTTTGCAATTTTCGCCGATTAAGTTTTAAAAATTTGTATAAAATTCATTTCTTGGAATATGTGTTTGAAAATTTCCCAAAGTGTTAATAAGAATATCCTCTTTCCAATGGACCAACACGATTTGAAAAATAACTTTTAGTTTTTGAGAAAACAATATTTGAAGTTTTGATAAATTTTCGATGTTGCAATTTTCATCGATAACTTTCAAAATTCGCTATAAAATCCATTTTTTGAAGGATCGTTGTCCAAATATCGCCAATTATTAATTAAAGTATCCTTTTTTTAGAGTTGCTTCGTTAGTTAGACATATCTTATCAGCTTTCGTATTAATTTCATTCATATCACTTCAAAAATGCACCAGAAATTATAACCATAATGGCCAGATAGATATGCCGAATAACCGGCTATCCAGCCGAAGGGGATGCCGAATATCCAGCTTTTCCATTCTTCAAATTATCTGTATGCAACATCTCTTTAATATTGTATTGTATCTTGCATCTTCATCCCTAATATGTTCCAATATTGTCTTTGGCCTTCCTCAACATTGTTGGTGCATCTCTCAGTCGTCCGTAACATCTCTCCATACATGTTAACAGATTTCTCTCAACATCTCCTTCATCATCTGTTAATATCGTTCTTGATATCGTACCTACATTTATATATGGTTATCATTTTTCCAACTCGATTCCTAATTATAGCTAAGCCAAATTTAAAAATATGATAATAAATGCTAAAAAATGGATGTTGATATGGCAGAAATAGAGTTAAATTGATCATATCATTATCATAATTAAAAAATTGTGAATGAAATTTATAAATTCGAGTTTTTTTCGTTTATTAATGATTCACATAAACTCGTTAAAGCAAAATGCGTCATCATATGTACATAAATAAAACATTTTTAAAGCTTTTAAGAAAATCCAATACAACTTCTTTTCAATTTATTGTCGGTTCATCATCAAGTAAAAATACTTATCTCCTTTCAGTTGAGATGAAAAAGACTAACGTATTTATGTTGTACAAATAGCATTTAACGTTGTAATACATTTGAATGCGAATTGTTTTCACGCAAGAATGGACACATTAGGATCCCGTTTGCTAGCGTGGGGCTCGTGTGTCGGAAACCCTTCAGGTAACAATTTCTGAAGGGGATCCGATCCCGATCGGACTCAGGGTGGTCCATGAACATGGTGTAACGTTCAGAAGCGATGTGTCAATTTCATTTATTAACACATGAATGGTCACAATGCGTAAAAAAAGTCGTAGAAAAATGTTTTTTTTTAAGTTGATTTCTAAAAATGTATTACACCCTAACAAAAAATAATTCACCACTAAAAATGGCGTCTAAAGAACGATCAATAACCGACGCCGGTTAGCTATTGGTTGGTTTAAAAGCGTCGGCGTCACCGGGCGCCATTTTGGACGCGGAGGCGTCGTTTTTAGAAATACCCAGGGAGAAGGGAACAAGAAAATAGAAAAAAATCAATAAAGTGTTTTGTCTCTATTTGGAAGTGGACCTACCTTTCCCGGTTCTTTGTCGAAATCACATTCCTTCTCTGGCATGTAACTGTTGGTTGGAGGCGAAAAAACGAGTTGTAAATTTGTCCCTGTCGTCGAAAATGCTATTTCTGTGTGTCCTTCTCGACAGGCGTTCAAGAACCTTCCTTGTCGTTCCTCTTGAGGTCGATCCCTGTAGCCGGTGTATCTTACCTGGAAAAAAAAAGTTATGAGTTTTCGTCTTTTCTTAATAAAGACATGAAGATGTCAACGTTTTAAGTTAAAGCTTTTTAAGTCCAAGTGATTTAAATAACCACACAACTTTAAATAATCCAGTTTCTTCGTGTATCCAACATTAATCATGATCTTCGCTGTTTTCTAGGTTACTTGAAATTGACATGTGAAAGTATTTCTATTGCTGTAAATATTTGTCAAATTGGTTTCTCACGTTTGCAAGGAAACTAAAATAGTTTACCACAACATTTATTTTATAAAGTTATAATCAATCCAATTGTGTACAAAAATTGAAACAAGATGTTACATAACCTATAATTCAATATTAAATTATAATAAGTGAGTAAGGAATAAAAGTTCTTCTAAAGACGATTTTACACAACAATTTTTGTTGTTAATTTTAATGTTATTGTAAAATTCTTGTGGTTTATATAATAATTGTAGTATAATATGTAAGAAATAAAAGTAAACATCATTATTAATTTTGTTTATTATTTTTTTATCCAATTAAAATTTCCTCAATGTTGTTAATTAACTTTTATAGTTAAAATCATTCTGTAATAAACATATTCGATTACGTTGCGATGGAAAAATTTACTAATGGAACTCGTTAGTGTGGAAACGATGATGATTTTAAACTTTAATAACCGAAACGAATAAAACGATATAATTAGAAAGAATTTATTTTAAATTTATTTTAATTATTTAAAAATTTTTACAGTTTAAATTCGATTTGAAAGTAGAATTGGATAAGATAAATTGGTTAACGTGACTTCCTGGTTTTTGTTGGGAGTCGATTTTCTGTTCGATCTAGTTTAATAACAGAATTACAGAAAATCACAAGTTAAGTGCAAAGCACGCGTGCTATAATTCATAAGGTTATTGCTGCTGGCAAACTCCAGAAACCTGTGTTTATGTGGAACGGTTATTTTTGAGCGTTTACGAGCTTCAAGCAAAAGCTTCGTTTCATAGTTAGTAGAAAGTTAAAGAAACAGAAATTGATATCGGCGAGTTTATGAATTGAGTAATAGGTTTCTTGGAAATTGAGAGAAACCCGAGATGTGATGACTTTTTTAATTAATTCCGGACATTCCTTAAATCCTTTTTTACTAACTCACCAAAAAACGAAATAATAATAACGTATTTACTTAAATAGAAACTGAAAATTAACATAACCGCAATATTACCCAAATAAAATAATACAAATTCAATTTGCGGTTATAATTAGAATAATTTTTTGTATTTATTTTATTCTTTAAAACCAAAACTAAGTTAATCTTGAATTTTATTGAATAAACCACATGAAATTATTAAATAACTTAAATAATTTTAATGTATATGTAATGATTGAGGAGCCACCTGTTATAAACTTTTCATTTTGCTAAATACTCAAGTGTCGATTATTACGAACACATTAACAGTGCGTGACTGCAACTACCGATGATTGTAAAGTAAAACGAGTCGATTAAAAATAAACGAACGTTCCGGTAATAGAAGCACATTAGCACGAACAGCATGTAATTTCCATTCCGCTTACGTAAAATAAACGAAATGAATTAATATGTTTGAGGAAGGAGCAGTTCTTCGAAATTTTAGATATTATGCGTCAGCCTACGATATTTATGTTATTAAATAATTCAATGACTCTTTTTTCTTCTATCTACTTAATAAAGAAGAAAGATCTCAAAAATGATTTTTTATGTGCGATTTGAGATTTGTAATGTGAGGAATTTTAAACGGTTGTTGTTATCTATTATTTCTAGGTTGTTGTTGATAGGAATTTGTGGTTATGACTCACAAAGATAATTTTGTAATTTTTCTGTGAAGTTATGGTTTTTCTTTGTTTTGGGTATAAAATCTCTGTTGTATAAATTCATCAAGTTTGGTATCTCTATTAAACAATTTAAATCTGAAATCTGGAAATTAAAGGGCATTAAAGTGTAATTAGCTGTTTTTGAAATGTTTTTAGGCATATTGTTGAATTATGTAAATTTGTTGCGCATGCAGCTTTACTGCTGAGGCAGTAGTATGAGTACTAAGAATATAAGCAATAAAATTTTTATATCAATACTATCTTATTGGAGTGTAACCGAGGCAGTGGCATAGATACTAAAACTACAAACAGTAAACTTTTCATTTCAATACTCTCTTGGAGCAGAATAGTCGAGGCAGTAGCAGAAGTACTAAGAATATAAACAGTAAAGTTTTCATTTCAATACTATCTTGTTGAATAGTAGCCGAGGCAGCTATGCTGCTGAGGCAGAAGCGTTTTTTTCTCATATTTTAGCGATTCATAAGAAGGCATCTCGCTTGAAGGAAGTAATTGAGTGAGTATTATTATAAAACATCCATTCACACAAGTACGAGTAAAGACAAATCAAGTTTCTCAATGTCTTAATGACCGCGAGGCGAATAACATCGAGCAACTAAATTATTTCTACTCCCTACGTAACAATCTAGATCTATTTTGTGCAAGATAGCCGAGACAATCGTGTTATCGAAGCATTAAGGTGTAATTAAGTGTCATATTGTATATGTTTGATTATGTAAACTTCTTGCCGAGGCAGCTTTTCTGCTGAGGCAGTAGAGTATTAAGGATATAAAGCTCTAAAGTATGTAAACATTTAAAGCTCCTCTATCATTACTCACAACCTATTAAAAAAACTTGGGATCTAACCAGAATAACTAAGATGATATCTCATGAAGTAATGGAAATATCGAAAAACAATATATATCATAAAATTTGTTATTCGATTCTGAACGAAAAAATGAAACCATAAAAAAGTTAGCAATATTAATCCATAACGAGAATTTTGTTAAGACGAACTTAAAAAAATTATATCTCCTAAACTAATTGACCCATTGCACAATGGCTTGCTATTCAAGTTTGTATAAACTCAACAAGTTTGATATCTCTATACTACTAATTATACATAACTTAGAGAAAAAAATTGTCAACCTAAAAACATTTTTTTTCTCATAAGGTGAAATTGAAAAAATGATATCTCCTAATCTAATCAAAGCATTGCAAAATGATTTATACCAATAAATTTGTTTTTCAAGTCTGTTTAAAATCACCCAGGTTGGTATTTACACCATTATAGATACATAACCTAGTAAAAAATAATGAAATTTCGTATTCGTTCAATATAATAAATTCCGCATAAACTGTAAAAGTGATATCTTACAAATATAGATATTGCAAAATGGTTTATATTATTAAATTAGTTATTCAATTGTAAACAAATTCACCAAATTTGTTTTTTTTTTAATTTTAGCAAATTTAATTTTAGGAAAAAAATTTGCAATTTAAAACGTTACATTTCTAAAGCTATATTTTATGGATTGATATCATGCGGATGATAAGAGTTATTAAAAAATGGTGTGCAGAGTGAACTTTGTCATTTAATTCTAAATAAAGCCATAAAATTATTTATAATTTGAACTACCATATAAAATGTAGTTTACAAATTATATGTCAGGTTTAATAGCAGATATCACAATAATTGTGATGATGCGAAACATGTTAAACTAGTAAAGGAAAATTCTTATAGACTTATTTAAGAGGTTAAAAGAGCTTTCATCACCTTAACTTGAACAGCGTGTGAGTAACCACTCAGATTTGGAAATAAAACGAGGATCATCACTAAAAAAGTATTGTAATAAAGATTAACATAAAACTATCTCAATTAACAAACAAAAAAATCGGGCAATGCCATGCGACTTTTGAAAAAAATTTTGACGTTTCAGATTATGTTGCAACCTTCGCCAGAAACAAGTTTGAACTTGTAGCAGCTTGGAACGCACAACCTACCAATCTCACATCAAGAAATGCACAAATGTATGCCTGGCATAAATGATAACTTTCACGAGGACGTCAGAAAATTACATTCTGCTTGATGAAGTTTTTAATTTCAGACCATTCTAATTATATCCATGCATGAAATAATTCATTTACTTGCAGAAATCTGTGATTTGAATAAAATGCCTATTGTTGTGTCTGATGGAGTTTTTGATGAATAAATATCGATACAAGAGATCTCGCAGTCTGCCAGATTAACTCTTATAATACTAGACTTTTTTGTGACATATCATTTTAAAAAACTAGTTAATTATGTTCATTATCTGGCGGTGTAATTGTTTCGTACTATGGCAAAAATGATGTTTATCTCATAGGAAATGATAATGCACATGCGATTGTGTCCATATCAAATTGGATAAGACGTCGTTTAATCCATACTTCATCTTCTCCATATTATCAAAAATATAAAAACTTCGATTTAGAAACAAGCATGATTATCTTGTTATTACTCTAATTCAAAGAAACCGAAAAAGAACCTTTACAATAAAGTACCTCATACACCATGCGGTTCGTGGTATTGCAGACAGTTTAAACTTGGTTTGAAACGACGGTTGCGATGATGGTTGGATTGCATGTGGTGTTGTAATATAGCACGTAGTAAGACGTACATAAAGGTTGGTAAAGGAGTTGTAAGTTGAAGGAGCGGTAAGTAGCGATGTGTATGGTGGAAGTACTCGCTGCAGAAGTGATCAGTATTCATTGTCAGTGGTAAGGAGGTTTTTTATGTTATTAGGTATTTACGATAGACGTGAAATAAAGTATTTTGAGAGAAATTTAAAGAAATGCAATCATAGGCAATCAAATGGGCCAATTTAGTCCATTTCTCAAAGAAACGGGTAAAGAAGTAAAAGATGCCGAATAATGAGTCATAATCATTTTTGTGAGCAATTTTTAATATTCTGTACTTAGTTAGTCATGTTTCAGAAATAATTCAGCCCAGATGTATGTACCAGAAGACAGTATTCCCCAGTACCATACATAGGTACTAAATTTCTAGTGTTTTGAAATACATTTTGCCATAAAATGATAAATCAGTCCCTTCTTTTTGCCCTGCTTAGATATGGAAATCCAAAACTGGTGGCAGGTCTTCAAACTATATAAGAAGCAAGCATAGAAATGTACACAAGTACTGCAGATTTGAAATTCTGGATCACTTGGTTGCATTTAAGATCAACAAACACCATTAGTGAGCCTATAATGATTACTAATAAAAACATTATTTCTGCAATAATCTTATAATGCATGATACTGACATAATAATTTAGTTAAAATTAGAAATTACTGAAAAAATCTATTTTAACACACTAAAAGAGCTTTATATTAAGATATTTTTTATAATAAACTTATGAGTTTACGAATAACCATTATTGTTTATAGATACATATAGCTAGCCAACTGAAGTGTTTATCCATGTGGTCCAAAAGTTATGACTACCAGATGGCATGGATATATTTGAGCCTTGGCGTCAATAAAAATACGGCAAAATAATATATATCATGTAGAGGTCATATAAAGTAGGTTTAAGTGATAAATTTCAATTAAACAAGACATATAAGTAAATGTAGTTGAATTGTCCAACAAATATTAATCCAGTTCTTTGAGTCACTTTTCTCTCAAAAGTACATTATAATAATGTTTTAAAAAGCTTATGTCAATAGTTGGGGAAAATGGTAAGTGTGGAAAAAATTTAAGCAAAACGAAACCACAAGAAACTTAACTTCTTATCACAATAAATAAATTTAAATCTGAAACCTCAAAATAACAAATATTAAATATTAAACTGTACCGGTTTCGTTATAACATCATCAGGAGATTATTACCTAACTCCTATTATAAAGAAAATTAAAGAAAAGGATTTAAATGAAAAGAATTTCAGCAAAACAATAAAAAAGATAAGACTTCAAAAACCTAATCCAACATAATTCTGAACACTCTTGAATCTAATATAAAAATTCTAAGCAATCCTTCAGATAATGTTATCAAAATAAAATGTTTGTGAAAAAATACAAAATCATTTTTGATATTTTGATAAATATCTTACCTCAGTCTCTCGACTCAACCGTCGAAACAACTCATCAGATTCAAACTTGGATTTCTGATCGGGTACAACCCTTGGCATCTTGAAGATGAATCTCGGTTTGGGTTGTTCGTACAACCCGATGGAATCGAAGGGTAGCATCCCGGCAAGGGCTGCCGAAGGATCATTCATTGCATGCATCATCAAAACTTATTTTTGAAAAAGTCCGCCACCGAAAATAATGATCAAAATGATCGGAAGATATTGATGGGGAAGAATCCGATACACAAACAACAAATCAAAAAAAGAACCCACTACGTAGGGTTCAACACTTCTCGTAGATTTAAAAGAATCTGAATACCGTCTCTCGCAAATCCGGAGTTGAGGCTCAACTGTTGAGCAACGGAGCCGCACTGATCTGGAAAATTGATCGCGGACAAACGCGGGGCTCCGGAGTCTGGGAGGAGCGCTCGTTCTCTGGAGGCGTGCCTGGCTCGATAAAACGCTGCCAATCGGAGGGTTATGGGATCTGTTTGGGGGCTTTAGAAACGGCCTATGGGAGTCCTCCGGACTTGTTTCTGGGGGGGTTCTATCGTTTTAAATCACGTTGCCCATTAAGGGACGGTCTGGATAGGATATTCCGGGGCGTTCGTTGACGGTCTTTTGTTGGAGGACAAGAACCAAAAAAGAAAAATAATAAAAAAGGGGATGAATACGTTTGATGTAAAAGATACCGGGTTAAGTATCTGTTACGAATCGAAAAGGTTTCATGAATGACGATGAGATTATGTTGTTTGATTGGCAGATGGATTTCTTTTTTAAATGAATGGGTTATATTCATTTAAAAAAAAGAAGAAAAAAAAGTTTATATAACATGATGCCTAATTCCATGAATCATTTACATAAAAAAGAAAATCTATCAATATTGACAATATTATATGCAGGGTGATTCTCAACCTATACGCATAAACTTGTGAAAAAAAAAATAACAAAAGTTTTTTAGTTTCCTAGATATGCGATACATCTAGATAAGGTGCTTTCCGGGAGATGGGCAGGTCGAGACCTGGTCATCTCGATCGCCCGAACTCAATCCTCTTGATTTTTATTTTTGGGATCACTTAAAAAGCATAGTGTACGTCACCGAAGGTAATACTGAGCAAAGATTGCGAAAACAGTTACAAACTGCTGCCGAGACAACCTGTTGACGGATTGTCTCTGTTTTGGTCTTTGTTTCCAGAAATCATCAGATACCACCATACTTATATCATCTTCTGCAATAAAATGTTTACATATAGTGTGTCGTTTGCTCATGTCCTTCTGATTGCAAGAGTTGCACAAATGATGTATGGCGAAATTTAGTAACGAGATGAAGAACGACATATATGGATCACAGAATGTTGAGAGCATTAAAAAGAAACAGATAGAACTCTGGCGAAAAAACGTTAGGCAGCCTTCCTGTGTTTCGTTGATCGAACCAAAACGTTCGACAAAGTAAGGATAAAAGAATTAGAACAGCGTGATTACTATGGTGATTACAAAATCAAGATTGAGTGCTATGCAGATGATGCCGTCCTCTTGGCTGATATTGATGGCATACAGGGTTAATACAGGCATTTAACTTTGCAGGGATTGAGCAAGGATTGCGAAATCAGATACAAACTGCTGCCATATGTACTCTTGATTTGAAAGTAAATTTCATGGATATTTAGGAAACTAAAAAACTTTTGCTACAATTTTCTTCACCTATTATTACTCATTATTTGTCACGAGGAATAAATCCCCAAGTTTATGCGTATAGATTGAGAATCACCCTGTACATATAAAGTAAATCTATCTTGTATCTTCCACGATAAGTAAAAAAGAAATGTACTGCATAACATTTTTCATCACACAATCAATCACACTTAATTTGCTTCCTCCAATCTTATAGACCTAGGCAGGTCATGATTGCCTTTTATTTGTCAAATCTAACGTTTTCTATATTATATCACAATTTTGGGATAAAATGTAGTTGAACATCATAATAATTGTATTTGTGTTGTACCAACCCATTTATATTGGTACAACTCTCATTATCTTGAAATATTATTGTAACAATTTTCTGTTTTTTTTATATTAAAATTATCAAAAATTTTATTTTGCGTTAATTTTATGTTATAGGCCACCAAATTTACACAAAATTCTCTGATTTCTAGATTAAGAATACTATAAAAGCCCATGCAACCTCAACTTGTATTTCAGAGCAAAGTCATAGCAAAGAAATGAGGTATGGTATTTAATGTTTATGGCAACAAATTTTCTTCTTGATGGCATTTCCAGAGTTGTTGCAGATAGTTTTCTTCCTTCTGATCAAAACTTTATAATTCAATTTTTGAGATTGATTGGCGTCATAAAAAAACTGAACAGCACCAGTTATTTTGCCAAAAGTAAACAATTCGAGAGAACATAAAGATCTCCATACAAGTAGCATTTTGCCAACATTATCAAAAAGTTTCAGGAAAATATTATAAAGCAGCTAATAACCCAACAAAGCTAGCAAGAGATTAATACGAAATTCGGGAGGGGTGGTGATGTTTCAAGTACCATTTTGAAGCTCTTAGACAATGTCCTGTTGTTACAAATAATGAGTTATATATGCGTGATTTTTACGGATTTCAAAGAAGTTTCTGACAAAATTGATCAAATTGACACTACAAAGATATTTGAGGATGTTGCTTGTTGCAGTGATGCGCTTATTTTGATAAGTTTTTTCTTAGCAGTAGAATACAGAGAGATGACTTTTATATTTTAATTAAACATGTTTGTAGCTACTGCCACCTTTCGGCACACATCAGCAATGTTGTTTCAACGCAAATCGACCTATTTAGAACTGGTGAAGTATGTGGTTTAGTCTGAAAGCACTTGACAAAGGAATTATTTTGACTTTTTGCATATACGGGTTTTTGAGTAATTTTGATTACATTTAGTAAAATGGCGGATAATAACGCAGTAGGATGTCCTTCTGAATGTGAAAAACGGAAATTGGCAGACAAATCAACCGATGCAGTGTTGCTTCAAACAGTAGAAGATAACGATTATAAGTTTTGAAAGTTATGATCCACCTAAAAATGAAAAGATTAATGGATGGGGTTGATTAGTGATGAAGAATCAAAACAAGAGGATCAAGTATACCTTGAGGATGTAGAAGGATAACAAGAGAATGTGAGCGATGCGCCAATGTAATTGTTAAACTCTTATTGATTTTGAGTCTTTTCGAGAACTAAAAAGGTTTTTCTGATGATTTTCTTCAGAAAGTTGTGAAAACACCCATCTAAAATATAATTGGTATTCTATATTCTCCGAAATATATTACTTCTATGTTTCTTCAATGAAAGATTACTAATTGTATTTGAAAATGATATGGTTAAATTTGGGTTGCAACGCAGTACATACACATACATCGTTACAACTTGGCGCAATGACTTAGTGTCAGATCAACTAACCATCATCTCTCCAACCTCACGGTTGTGCAACCTGGGCAATGCAACCCACATCGTGAGGCGCGGCAAATTGAGAAAGGTGGGGCTATACAAAACAGCCTGAAGAACTGGTGAAGCCAGGCACCATAAGTATAGTTCTTATATTATCCGTCAAAACGATAAGTATTTTCGGTGGCAAAAGAAGCCGAGTCAAAGTTATTAAAGCACTTTTGCCACCCATTGAATGACAAGATTAGGAGCTTTGTAAAAGAGAAGCAAATGCTAATGCTAAAATATAAAGGGAAACTCAAGGCCAGTCATCATCGTCTCATATTACTGTAAGAAGAAGAGGATGCAGAAGGTTATAGAGAGATTATTTTCCACAAGTAGTACCAAGCAAAAACACTTGGTGTACTTTCAAATAAGTGACACTAATCTTGCTTTTCGCTAAATGTGCATTGATTGCTTTTGTTGTGTTTTTAGGCATGACTTGTTATGACGCTTCGTCATCCCTGGTTCTGATTCTCCTGTAATACTGAGGTCCAGCTGTCTTTCCATAGCTTTGATGGTATTCCTATCGATCTATTTGTGTATGCTTTGCCATCTCTTGTACATTTTGTCAGGCACAACTAATCCGTATTTGAATTATCAAAAATTAATCTATTGAAGATATGCAACCAAATATACACCATTTTTTTAAAAGCAAATTTTAGTTATTTTTCTGAGACAACTAAAATTATCAATTAAAAACCTTTTATTTACAAGAACAATAAAGAATACAATACATATATATAAAATGTTGAATAAATACATATTGTAATATAAGTCATGGCCCACAGTCTTATGATATGCATAAATCTCATCTAAAATCGTTGTTTTCTTAAAGAAAATAAATTATTTATAAAACTTTGGCCGTAATTTCTCCACAAGCTCGGTATGCAAAGTACGAAAAAAAGCATAGCGCGAAATTTGACAAGTCTTCATCTGGAATGTCCCGTTCGGCGTATCTACCAAATCTGGCAAACATGTATGATATCGCTGCCGCAATGCCCCACATATTTTCATTGTCTAAATATGAAAACCAGCCACAGAAAATTACGTTAATAGCAGTTAGCAAATCCACAAAATCTTCGTTTACAGCACAACCTTCAGTAAATGACATCACCAAAGGAATTGAGGAAACTACAGGAATGGTTATACCAAAAAATTTATCTTGTCTAGCTTTTATAATCATATTTCCTGTCATACAAGATAATGCTAAAGCGTTTCGAACATGTGATGTTATATCAAAGAATTTTGAAATTTTTCCACCATAATCTGGGTTACCTAAAAACAAGTTATAAGATATATTAAGAACTTAGTAATTTATTGATATGTTCTTACCCCATCTCCATACACCAAGTAATGAATGAAACGCAATTACTCCAAAAGTAATTAATGGTAAATCTAAATTATCAGTGACATCATATTTTGTATATTTTACGATACAATAAATCCCTGTTCCAGCAAGTAAAACATAAGACGTTGCTGTAGAATATCTATGATGAGATGACATCGTAAAAATGGAAGTTTAAAGAAAATGTTAATTTTCTTTTTGGAAGTAGATAACCTAAATTTTTCTTATAGATACTTTTTCCAAATCTTCTATGACTACTCTAATTATCGGCTGTTATTTTATGTGATGTTCCAGCCTTGGCACTGACTCTCGAACTGATGAAAGCCTGTTAATTTTCATCACACCCAAGGAATGTTGTAATTTAAAACGTCAACAAACAACAATACTATATACGGAAACGGAAATGTGGGAGGAATTGGAGGTTATCTCCAGCTATTTTCGGTTTGACATTCGATCATACGATTTTTTCTTCACAATTTTTAACACGATATAAAAGAAAAACCATTAAATAAACAATTAAAGTCAATTAAACCGCACAATTTCATATTTTTTATTTAATTTTTAAGTGGATTTTAAATGTTCTCATTTATACCAAAAGATGTCGTATCAAAAACCTGACAGATGTCATATGTCATATTTACATAACCTAACTTTTTTGTAACAAGATTTCTGGTTAGAATTAAAATTTTGGTGTGATTTTATTAAAATCAACTTTTTTGAAATGCCAATATTAAATTATCAAAATAAATTAATTTTAGCACCTATGGTACGCGTTGGCTCATTACCCATGCGTTTATTAGCCTTACATTATGGTGCTGAAATAGTTTATTCGGAAGAAATAATCGACTGGAAACTCTTAAATTCAGTTAGGCAAGTAAACGGTAAGATAACGAATCTAATTATAACTCAAAAACATGTTTATTTACTCAAATTTATTTAAACAAATATTTACAACACTTTTAATTTACAACTTTATTTTCTAGATGTATTAGGCACAATTGATTTTTTGGATAAAACAGATGGAACGGTTATCTTTAGAACCTCAAAAGAAGAACATGATTGTGTTGTCCTTCAATTAGGAACTTGCGACCCAAATAGGGCTTTAAAGGTTGCTAAAATGGTTGAGGAAGATGTAGCAGGGATTGACATTAATATGGGTTGTCCCAAGGAGTTTTCTATTAAAGGTGGAATGGGGGCAGCTTTATTAACAAACCTTCCTAAAGCTAAAGAAATTTTAAAAACACTCGTGGAAAGTGTAAAAATTCCAATAACATGTAAAATAAGAGTTTTTGAAAATGAAAATGATACTTTAAACTTGGTGAAAGAATTGGTTTCAACAGGAATTGCAGCAATTGGGATTCATGGTAGAACTAGGGCTGAAAGACCTCAACATCCTAATAGAAATGGTTTAATTAAGTTTATTGCTGAAAATATTAATATTCCGGTTATTGCAAAGTAATTTGAATCAATATTTGTTTATGATTGTGTTGATAAATTAGGGATTTTTTTAGTGGGGGTTCTAGAGAAATAGAAAAATATTCTGACATAGAAAAATTTAAAAAGGAATGTGGAGTTTCTTCTGTGATGTTAGCAAGAGCTGCTCAAGGAAATTGTTCAATTTTTAGGAAACAAGGAATGTTGGATCTTGATACTGTTATATGTAAATATCTTGAATATGCTGTTAATTTTGATAATAGCCCTAACACTACCAAATATGTCATACAGAATATACTTAAGGAATTGCAAGAAACTCCAAGGGGAAAAAAATTTTTAGAATGTCAAACTTTACAACAAATTTGGTTCGTTTTAATTTACTTAAAAAGAAATTAAATTTATTTTATGTCTTTACAGTGAAATATGGGATTTAGGCGATTATTGTCGAAAAAAAGAATTAGAATTTTTCGAACGTGGCATGACTTGTAGAAGAATGATCACCCCCGATATGTTTGAGCCAGCTAAAAAAAGGACGAAATTCGAACAATTCGACGATTGCAAAGAATTAAGATGTGCATTTATCAGAGTTAATTATGTTAAAGATACCGAATTACCCAAAAGTATTTTACTTGCTTGGTGCTTAAAGAATAAAATTGATGACAAACCTAAATATGAAATTATTCACCAAGGAAAACTATTTAGAGCCATTTTATCATTAAATGGGGAGAAATATACTTCATCTTATTGGTAAAATAATTTTAATTTCCTTAATTATGCCTAAAATCGTTTTTTTGTAGGGAAAAGAATAAAAAATATGCCGAGCAAGGAGCCGCTCTTTCATGTATTTATCATTTAGGATTAATTAGTAAAGAAAAACTTATTGAAAGTGGAAGTGTTATTAAATAAGATATAAGTTTATTATTTTTTTAATTTATATGATGTATGCAACCCAAATGACAAAACAACTTTATTACTAAATCAAATTTAAATTTAATTTCTAATATTAATTATTTCCATAATACAACTAATTCCGATAAGTGATTAATAATAAAAATAACTTTAATTCATTTAAAAATAACGTTTAATTTTAAATTTGAAGTTGACGTTTAACATAACCTAAATTTTTCAATTTAACTGAATTCAACAATAACATCAGTTTTATTGTTACTAATTTCGAAATTGTCGTACAATAATTGCTATTAAGATATGCATTTATCAGCGTTAATTATGCTAAAGATACCGAAATTTAAAAAATAATATTTTATTTGAAATTGACATTTCGTTGACGTTTAACATAACCTAACTTTTTCAATTTAACAATAATCCAACAATAACATTAGTTTTATTGTTACTAATTTCGAAATTATCGTACAATAATTGCTATAAAGATATATAAAATTAGCTCAATATTTCCGGAAAACACCAACCACACCATTCCCAAAAGTATTTTATTTGCTTGGTGCTTAACAATAAAATTGATGACAAACCTAAATATGAAATTATTCACCAAGGAAAATTATTTAGAGCCATTTTATCATTGAACGGGGAAAAATATACTTCATTTTATTGGTAAAATAATTTTCATTTCCTTAATTATGCCTAAAATCTTTTTTTGTAGGGAAAATAATAAAAAATACGCCGTGCAAGTAGCCGCTCTTTCATGTATTTTTAGGCTTAATTAGCCTAAATAATTAGAAAAGCTTATTGAAAGTGGGAGTGTTATTAAATAAGTTATAACTTTATTAATAAGTTTTTTAATTTATATGACGTATGCAACCCAACTGACAAAATAACTTAATAACTAAATCAAATTTAAATTTAGTTTCTAATATTAATTATTTCCATAATACAACCAATTCCGATAAGTGATTAACAAAATTAATAATAAAAGTAACTTTAATTAATTTAAAAATGATGTTTAATTTTAAATTTGAAGTTGACGTTTCATTGACGTTTAATATAACCTAACTTTTTCAATTCAACAATAATCCAACAATAACACCAGTTTTATTGTTACTAATTTCGAAATTATCGTACAGTAAGTGCTATAAAGATATATTAGCTCAACTTATCAATATTTCCGGAAAACCCAATCACACCATTGTACTCGTATCATTAAATTTATGTATGTTATGACACATCAGCTGTTCTTGTAGGCGTGTATTGAAAGTGGGAAGTAAAAATTGAGTCGAAATATAAATAATGATTGGGAAGGAATCGCGTGTGAGTGACGAAGATGATGTAACTGTTAAACTTTCCAGTCGAAATCGAATTATTTGTTTGTTGTACTACTTTCAAAACGTTTTGACAATGTGAAACAGTTTTATTATAAAAGAAAAGCTTCAAGAATGAGTAATGATAACGGCAGGTTTGTCATCAAATACCAACAGCTCCTTCGCGATTTGAAGACTACCATCGAGGGACTTCTTGTTAGTCAAGTGCCAAACTTATGGTCTATTTATGGTGGTTTAAACAGGTTACACGTTGATGTAGAAAAAATATTTAAACATGGATGTAAAACGAGTACAGAAAATGTATGTTAATTTTAAATTAATAAAATAAATTAAAATCCTAATTATATTTTTTTTTACAGCAAATTTCTGGATATTATCATTTTGTACAAGGATTAGAATGGCTGTATCCTGATAGTTCAAAATCAACTTTAGTTGTAGATTGTGAATATAAATCTCATTTCCCCCAACATATAAAAAACGACAAAGCTTCAATCTGGTTGTATCGTTCATTAGAAAATCATTCACTTTCCCAAAAATTATCATGGTTATTATCAGATAAAACTCACTTATTAGCTTGTTATCAATCTTCAGCATTCCTTTGTCAACCAAAGTATTCTGAGGCAATATTAATTTGTTTAAGAGCTGTTGAAAGAAATGAACTTACTTTATTATCAGAAATAGATCCATGTTTATTCCTTCATAAAGAAACTGTACAGGTTTATGAGAGGCGGCATCGAAGATGTTCTTCTTTACCTGATACGCGTTTTAAAAATATTTTAATAAAACCGTCCAAAACATTGAAAGAAGAAAATCCAGTTCATAAAAAATTTCAAATTAGTATTTTTAAAGCTTGGAGTAGCACTCCGAATTTAGGCCCAACGAAAACGAATGTTATTGAAGCAAAAAGTCACACTAATCCATCTACTCCTGTTAATCACAGCAGAAAAATATCGATAAGTTCATTAAAATCCCCAGTTTTATTAGAAAACGATCGATTAAGTATTCGAAGTGTTGAAATTGATCAATTAACACCAATAAAAAAGGAAAGTAATGTTAAATTACGACCCGTTATTATAAATAACGAAGATATAATCGAACATACCCCCCCTTCAACAAGTCAGCAACAAAACATAAATGGTGTACACGATTTAAAATCCCCTTTAAAAGGTCGATTTGCGAAATCGCCAGATTTAGGGTTCTTAAATGCTTTAGCTGGCGAAAAAGATTTTAAACATAAACCCAAAAAAACTTTTATTGAAGATGGGGGAATGAGTATCTTACCAACAGCGACGGGGTAAAAAAAATTTAAATCTAAAAATAATTTTATTTTTATATAGGTATTTATTTATAGATATTTTCCACGTCCTAAAAAAGGTCAAACTTTAACTTCATTCTTAACGTCTAGTCAATTTAGTCGCGCAAATGCTGAATTAGATCGCGAAAACGCCCACTTTAGTATTTCCGAAGCGATGATAGCGGTGATCGAGCAAATTCGATGCGGAAGAAGTCTTAAATTAATCGACGAAGCAGACGAAAGCGACGAAGAAATCAACAATCTCAAACAACGAATTCGGTTACGAAGGAAAGAAAAACAAGAAGAAAAGCAAAAACGGCTTCTTTTGAATAGCTTAGTTAGCGAAAAATCAGATTTAAATCCGACGGAAACGAGTCCATATTCTTCTTCGCCTGCAACGAATTCTTTGAGTTCTGGTGGGGGAGTTGAGGATATGGATATTGATGAAGTTAATGATTGGTTATTGGAAAAGGAAGGGTTATCTATGTCAATGGCTTCTTTATATTCTGAAGCAGATGTTTTAAAGAAACCTAGAGGTGCACCAGATGGAGCTTCTGATATTATGTCCGCGGAAGGGGTCGCTTTGTCGCTTATCAGCCGATTTAATGAGAAACAATTACCAAGGTAAATATTAGACTTAGATGTCTTATTTGTAAATAATGAAATTTTTTCTGTGTTTTAATCGCTTTATATTTATAATTAGTTTTAAATGATATTAAAATGATTACACTATGTCACACTGTTAGGAACCCTCAAGAATTGGGCTGTAGCGCCACAGATGATGATGAATTTAAGACATTTCAAAGTTAATTCATTTTCCAAGACAATATATGAACAAAATTCGCCGAGATCGCTTGCGGGCGAGGCCCTAGATTTGATATATCAATACAAAATCGTCAAAAATTGTTTAAAATGTGATTTAGAATCTATTATTTTAATAAAAAATTTTGCTAAATCAACTAGGTGGCGCTGTACACTAACATCCAAAACGGTTTTTTTGACATTATCGCAATAATAAGTGATAAATTCAAATTTTTTTATAAACAAATTTGATTTAAAATTAAATTTCAAACAACTTTTATTAATAACATTTTTCAAAATAACGCAATTTTAATTTCCCTCTGAACAGTACGGTACTTTAAATGTCAATGCAATTTAAGACATTTCAACGTTATTATTGGTTTTATCGAAAAATGTTTCGAATAACATTTGTTCAAAATGCGATTTAGAATCGATTATTTTAATAAACATTTTTGATAACTCAACTAGGTGGCGCTGTACACTAATATCCAAAACGGGTTTTTTGAGATTATCGCAATAATAAGTGATAAAATCTAATTTTTTTATAAACAAAATTGATTTAGAATTAAATTTCAAACAACTTTTATTAATAACATTTTTCAAAATAACGCAATTTTAATTTCCCTCTGAACAGTACGGTACTTAAATGTCAATACATTTTAAGACATTTCAAAGTTATTGGTTTTATCGAAAAATGTTTCGAATAATATTTGTTTAAAATGCGATTTAGAATCGATTATTTTAATAAAAAATTTTGATAAATCAACTAGGTGGCGCTGTACACTAATATCCAAAACGGGTTTTTTGAGATTATCGCAATAATAAGTGATAAATTCAAATTTTTTTATAAACAAATTTGATTTAGAATTAAATTTCAAACAACTTTTATTAATAACATTTTTCAAAATAACGCAGTTTTAATTTCCCTCTGAACAGTACGGTACTTAAATGTCAATACATTTTAAGACATTTCACAGTTATTATTGGCTTTATCGAAAAATGTTTCGAATAATATTTGTTCAAAATGCGATTTAGAATCGATTATTTTAATAAAATATTTTAATTAATCAACTAGGTGGCGCTGTACTCTAATATCTAAAACGAGTTTTTTGAGATTATCCCAATAATAAGTGATAAAATCGAAATTTTTTTATAAACAAAGTTGATTTAGAATTAAATTTCAAACAACTTTTGTTAATACCTTTTTTCAAAATATCACAATTTAAATTTCCCTCTGAACAGTATGTGTTTCAAAGATATTAGGAAATAGAAAAAGTTGATTGGTGTTTGTCAAAATGGTTCAAATTTTTTTTAGTTTAATCAAATAAAAGATGTTCAAATTGGTTTGAACTATTTTGACACACACCATTTACCTTTTCTTACCTCCTTGTATTTTTGGAGCAGTTTTGGAAAATCAAAATCTATTTCTTTTTAATCATTTTATCCTGGTTAAGTATCGTAGAGATATTGTTATTGGATTAGAGCCATTTTGATTTACACTAACAAAAAAAATGTTTGCAGCTTATGGATGTTGTCCATATAATGTTTTTTAATTCCTTTTGTCTTTATCAAGCAACCTATAAACGTTTTTAATCGATTTAAGTCATTTTTACAAACACCAATTAACTTTTTTAAATTCTTTGTATCTTTTGGACAATTTTGAATCAATTTTGAAGCTTACGGAAAAGTCCTTATGATTATTTTTTTAATTTCTCTTTATTTTTCATTGAATTTGAAATGATTCTATAAATATTTCCTTTTGTTTATGTATTATTTCTCTATTTAACTTATTTAAAAATCAACTAATTAACAAATCGACGTTAGATAAAACGATATCATAATTAATCTTATCGAAAACCTTAATCCTGTTTTTCCAAATTAAATTCACCAAAATGTAAGTTTTATTATTTCTCGCAGAAAACAAGTTTGTGTTATGTTAATAGTGTTCTTAAACCAATTGGAAAGTTTCTTCTTGCGTAGCCTTTTTATAGTGTCACCACACCACAGCGTGACGTCATGAAGCTGAGTAATCAGTTCTTATCAAATTAGGTTTCACATTCTCTCCCATATTTTATTGCTTACTGTAGTTTTATTTTTCGTGATCGTATCGTTTGAGTAGGAAATGAACTACCTTCCATTGTTTCTATATAAAACATTAAAAAAAATTAATCGTGAAGTGCAGGAAGAAGAATGGTAATTTATTTTAATAAAAAAAGATTAAATTCAAAAAAAAAATTATTTTTTTTAATTATTTTTTTAAGGGCTTCGGAATTGGAGTGGATAGTTTCCGAAGAAGATGCACCCCAAGCACTTTTACCTCTACCAAAAACATGGCTCGATGATTCACAAGATGTTAGTACAATTTCGTTACGGGGTACTCAAGACTGGGCGCCCCCCAGACCACAAATTATTTTTACTTTACATCCAGCACCAATGTAAGAACTGACTTAAATAAATAGCTTTGAAAAAAATAATTAATTTTTAAATTTTAGTCGAAAACAATTAATGGCGAAACAAGATTATAGATGTGCTGGATGTGGAATGCGAGTGGCCCCACAATACGCATCAAAATTCCGTTATTGCCACTATCTAGGTAGATATTTCTGTACTGGATGTCACACAAATCAAGTATCTATCATACCAGCAAGAATAATACAAAAATGGGATTTTGCACGATACCCAGTTTCGAACTTTTCTTATAGATTAATCGAACAAATGTACGTCGATCCTTTATTTAGAGTGTTTGAATACAACAAAAACATCGCAAAAAGGAGCGCGAATCTCGCTACGTGTAGAACTTACAGGATAGGATTGCATTATATGAGAGATTTCATTCTTAATTGTCGTTTCGCGGAGACAATTCAAGATTATTTAAATTGTGAACGAACGTTTTTATTTAACGACCCCGAATTATTTTCGTTGGAAGATTTATTAAGTGTTAGAAGTGGTGAAATGAAGAGTCATTTGAGGTGTGTTATTGAGATGTGTTGGAGGCATATTTTAGAATGTCAGGTAAATATGATTAAGGTGGAAATTTTAATATACAGTAAAATCTCGATAAACCTCAACCAAACATCGCCGAGATTCACTAGATGTGATATATCAATACGAAATCGTTAGTTTTGAAAGATTTTACCGTTTAGTTCACTTTCCAAGACATTAAATGGACGATATCATTTAACATCGCCGAGGTCGCTTGCGGGCGAGGCGCTACATTTGATATATCAACACGAAAACGTCAGTTTTGAAAAATTCTAGCTCCTCGCCCACAAGCTACCTTGGCGAAATGGTTGCTTATGCAAGTATTGTACGTTTAGTTCACTTTGCAAGACATTAAATGAACGATATCATTTAACATCGCCGAGGTCGCTTGCGGGCGAGGCGCTACATTTGATATATCAATACGAAAATGTCAGTTTTGAAAAATTCTAGCTCCTCGCCCACAAGCGACCTTGGCGAAATTATTGCTTATGCAAGTATTGTACGTTTAGTTCACTTTGCAAGACATTAAATGAACGATATCATTTAACAACGCCGAGGTCGCTTGCGGGCGAGGCGCTAGATTTGATATATCAATACGAAATCGGCAGTTTTGAAAGATTATAGCTCCTCGCCCGCACGCGACCTTGGCGAAATGATTGCTTATGCAAGTATTGTACGTTTAGTTCACTTTTCAAGACATTAAATGAACGATATCATCTAACATCGCCGAGGTCGCTTGCGGGCGAGGCGCTAGATTTGATATATCAATTTGAGGAATATTTTGCTCATGATATCGAGGTTTTACTGTATTAAGATATAAAACCGATTTTATTGTTAAATTTATATATCATTTAATAAGAAAATAAAACTGTTTGATTTAATTATTATAAAATTAATTTCAGTTGTGTTCAGCACGTGGATTTATATGTGAAATCTGTAAAGATCCTAAAGTAATTTTTCCATGGCAACAACGCACAGTTTCTAGGTGTGGAAAATGCGGGACATGTTTTCACTCAATTTGTTGGACGATAGATACGCCTTGTGTGAGGTGTGCCCGAATAAATAAACGCAAAACTAGCTTGCAAGATAACAAATTTGAGAATTGATGAGTTTTTAGAAATAATATAAATCAATGTATTTTATGTAATATAGAAAAAAATACTCAATTATATTTATACAGTTTTTATTTTATGATAATAAGAAATAAATTTGTTGAACACTGTATATATGTTTATTATTGTTTATAATTCTCAACATAATCTTTGTTATAGATAAATACATATAAAACTGGGAGATTTATTACTATTTCCTAAATATGTAAATACGAGAGGTATATAGTCAAATAATTCAGATTACAAGCGATAGGAGAATTCATTTTTCCTTTTTTTTTTTTGTTTTTTGATATCCTATTATTCGAAATATTGTTTAGAGATACATACACACTAAAAGTTAATATAGCACAAACGTATCAACAAATAACTAGACTACTAGGACATTAAAATTAATGAACAAAAAATATTATATAAAATATACAGGTTCGCCTAAGGCTTGCAGTTTTTTTTTCTTTCTGAACACATGTATATTATAATGTATATCACCTAATAAAAATATTCAGTACATTTACACGGCCGAAAATAAAATTAAAACTAAGAAATAAACTTAGAAAAAAATAATAATAGAATACATTGTAAAAATTACTTTATAAGTTACGATTTTAAAACCTCGTTTTTTATCAATGGGACTTTTGCTACTTCATAAAATATTTCGTGAGAATATTTATTTCGAACTGTCATCGTTTGTTCTTTAGGTTTCCTGTGTAAACCTTCATTTAAAATATGTACAATTGGCATTATATCTTCCAAGGTGTAGCCTAAACATTTAAAAAAAATTAATTTAAATTCAATTGATATAACCAATTTTTTTAACCTGTATAAAATTCTAAAGTTGGCGTCCACCCACTAATTTTCTTCATTTGTAATGCCAAATATAAACAAGCAGCAGCTAATTTCGAATCGGATAATGTTACAGTATCATAATCCATCAGTGAATATTCCAAAATGTATCTTGCCAAAGTCAAAACAGGCATCGTTACTTTACAACACTAAAAGAAAACACTTTATATTATTTCAACAAATCTTTTTTAACATTACTCTGGCATATCTTCTTAAGAAGCGATAACTTAATGGAATTCCCAAATCAAAATCACACACTCTAAGTAAATTAATCTCCATTCGAATGAGTTCTCTGCGCGTATAAGCTCCATCACAAATATAAAGGAAATCTTCGACGAGTGGTGGAATGCGTTCGTCATATTTGCTAGCGATAAACATTGCAGCCGCCCCGACTAATTGCAGCGTTTCCTTGCCTACGGTTATTTTGCTTAAATAGCAATCGACTAGTTTCACACCTAAGTAAAGAGTTTCATGGTTTAATTCAAAACTTTCTTGAATTTCAACCATCCAATCCACTAATAAAGATCGCATCCATTTTGACAGAGCTGGTTGTGAAGTCATGTAATCTTTTATTACAAACATAGCCTAGACAAAAAAACTTAAATAAATAAAAAATTAATTTAAAATTATTTTAAATAACCTCTCTAGTTTTTAAATAATTAAAAATATCCATGGCATAATGTGATACTTGGAAAACATCATCCCAATTTTCTTTATCAAAGTCTTTAACGTCTTTAGGTACAACAACCTGATCAAGTTTCAAATTTTTTTCCAATCGATCAGCCATCAATGTAATATTTGAGGATGATTTTTCGGTGGAAGATTGAGCTGAGAAGAATTTACTAGAAGCTGTACTTTTTTCTGCAGTGTTTCTAAATTGCATCATAAATTAAAAAAAAAAAAAACAAACAAATAAAATAAAATAACTTACACGTCTTCTAAAGCTGAACAATACAAAGATTCACTAGTTTTTTCAAATTCATTACTCAATCGTGTTTTCACCTTAGTCGGAACGACGATATCTTTTGGATTTTCCTTTGGTTTTTGTACAGTTTGAGTCGGTGCCGGGGCAACATGTCGAAGCGAAGCCCTCGTTTGTACTTTATTAGCAGGTGCGGCAGGCGGAGGAAGATTCTCATTTTGCCTAGATTTAACAATTGTTCTAACCGATGGTAAAACCTTCTCTTTTACCGTAACTTTCTTAGCCAAAACGTTAGTTTTCGATAAAACTTTGTTTTTAATACCAAGAACTTTATTCTTATTAGCTGCATTGGAAATATCTCCCAAGGCTGAACGTTTAACTGCGTTTTCTTTCGCAGGAGATCCGTCGGCTTTACGTTTTGATCCGACATCTTTATGGATTGTGGAGTGTGTTTTACTGCGAGTTGTAACGCCACGAAGACTTACACTAGGTATTAAAGTTCTTGTCGTTTTAGTTGGTGCCATTATTCTTAGAAGTATTTACTACTTAAATAAGCTGTAAAAAATTAGATTTTTAATTTACTTAAAAACAAAGTTTTTTTGGTTAAAGTCTCATATTGAGTTAATATATTATTGGAAGTGCGGGAATAATAGATATGGAGGTTAAGGAAACTATTTTTGTAATTGATGGATACAAGGTAAGACGAGGAATTGAATTGATAAGTTTAATTCATCAGTTCAACATTAACAATAGTTATTTAATTATTTAATCTTATGCGATCCAAATAATATCTCTCCTTCTCTTCATTGGGTCTATAAACCATTATAGGTCCTTGACTTCCATCTTCCAATTTCTGAACCTAGACATATCCCAAACATACTTCGTCCTCCCATCTTGTTCTTGGTCTTCCCCTAGATCTCGCTCCTGTGTATCAGTTGCTTCACTATTCTTCATCCTGACCATATCTTCCCTTGCCATTGCAATCTCTGAATCTTGATACACTACTACTGAGAACATTGGCTCCTTGTAAGAGCTATATGGTTCATGATCACATCTTGTTCAATCAGTTTGTGAATTATCCTATCAGGCACCAATACAACTCGTCTGACAATAAGAAGTTAAATTTATCCTAACCAATGTGAACTCGATTGGGAAGTACTCAAGAATTGTTTATTAGATTTCGGAGGCCGCTGTGGCCAGACCACCGAATGCGCATCTGTCAGTACATACTCTTGCTGCTGCCAGTACATTGCAACATAATCACTATTATGTTCAGGTTTACAAGCTTGAAAGTAAGCTATTCCAGTTTTAAATACAAACATATTTTAGGCCATTGGTGATAATGTAATGGCTTGGATTACATCCTCAGTATAGCTAAAGTTGTTACTGACTGCGATTACTATGCCTTCGATTACTCCTCTTTAGATCAAATAACAATAAATAAAACATAAGTAATTTGTTAACATAAGTGACTGCCAATTAAGCCTATGGTACATTTCCTGAGATGGAACTAGCTCACACTTCCAAGAATTTCGCAGTCAGCTCCAATATTTTCAAGTCATCAATCGAAAATTTAGCGTAGATTAACAAATATGTAAAGATAGAAAAAAATTAACGATTGATAATATCTGAAACAACAGATTTTCAAATGGTCAAAGATAATGATGAAAATAAGGAGTTATCATCATTTTTGGATTATTTACATCAGTTGATATAGATTGGTACAGACAAATGTTTGGAATAACATATCGAACTCCTCCCAACTATCCAGCAAAAACAAGTTTCGCAAATTAAACCCCAACATAAAATCCACCTTATTTTGTGGAAGGGAAACAAGATCCAAGTATTCATGAACAAATGTTTTAGAAAGGTATTACGAATAAAATGGTCAAAGTTTGTACCTACAGTGATCTTGGTTTATAATGATCCCCCACGGACCACGCCTGAGGGTTCATTATGACCGAACTTCACTAAAACCGGTGATACATATCTGAAATTGGAATAAAGTGCAAAATTTGGACAACTGCACTAAAAACTGTCCATGGAAACCAATCCAGTTGGGAGACTTGATTGACTCAAGTAAATGATAAAAATTAAGAAAACTGGGAAGTTGTAAACAGAATGCCCAAAAACATGGTAAGAAGTATGGACATATTTATGGTAGAAGTAGACAGAGATAATGTAATGTATTCTAGTTAAAGCTGAAACAATTTTTGTTCCTTAAAAATTGAAGAAATTATTAAAAATAATCACTCCAAGTTGTTGTAACAGCAAAGGAAAACCTTGTAAAACCAGGGAGGACACCATAGAGGAAGCAGCAAAAAAGAGAAAAAACGATGGGGCAAATAAAGCAACCTAACCAACAACAGGCAAGAATGCAGGAAATGGCACAACATCCCGACAGAATAAGGTAATTGAGAAGAAGGTAAGAGAAAGATTCCTTCTACTTTAGCATCTTAGGAATAGAATTTGTTTACATTATCATATAACCTTTTAAGAACGAGTCTGAAGATGATCTTCCCTTATAAACCTTTACAACTACAGTAATATTCGCTTATAACGAACACCCACGCACCACCTCAATTCATTATAACCGAAATTCACTAAAATTGGTGATTCATATTTGAACTTGGGATAAAGTTTATTATAAGTGGACAATACCGTATAACATAACTAAAAATATTGTGAATAATAAGCCTTTTCCTCTTTTTGTGAAAAAAGTTGTATCAGTCCTCTACCATAAGCAAAGATTAAGGTTAAAATTTAAAAACTCCCTAAAATCTACAATCTTGGCAGATTTGGCGTATAAGGAATTCGTAGACTAGTTTTTTTTAGCTTTTACTAAAAATTGCATCAACCTCCATGGAAATACAGCAAAAATATACAATTATTGTAGAACTCAATCTGACTCAAGAGAATGATAAAAATTAATAAAAATGACACTAGAAACTTTCGGGGTTTGCCGTGCGTCTTTTAAGAAAAGGTTTGACGTTTTGGATGCCAGTTGCAACCTTCTTCAGAAACTGTCACGTTTCGGTTGCAGCCTTTAGTTTCATGCCTGTCTCAGTGATACAGGATGAAAGGTTATAAGGTTATAAAATAAAACAATTTTTTTGTTATTTTTGAAATGCATTTAGCAAAAAATTCACTCCAAGTTGTTGTAACAGCATCAGATGTACTTGTTTTTGTAGCTGTAGTATTATATCTAATGAAAACCAAATACATATACATATTCTTATATGTATTATTCCTATACATACATATAGGAATAATTATTGTTTTAGTAGATGGAGATTTTAATCTTCATGGTTGAAAAAGCAACCAAATAATCGATTACAGGTGACACTTGTCACTTTTGATTCTGATTTTGCAGAGTTGTGCAAGTTATTAACTAAACTACAAAGCTCCTAGAATCATCCATGGTTCCAAATGACTACTAACTTATCCCAGTTAGGTAATGACTGCTACCTGAATCCGAATATGACCCAATATGTTGGTCTAAGTTTCCAGAAATGTAAAGATTTCATTTAGCTTACATTACAACAGATTTGGAATATTTCTCCTTACTTGAAAAAGCTTACTAAAAGCAGGTGGTAATTTCTAACCTGGCATCTAAGAATAAATTATCATTAGTTGTTCGGATCAAAATGTATTTAGATACACAATTGTATCAGCAATTATTAGGATTAAATAGAAAATATAAAAGATCACATCTCTCTTACATTAAATAATTTCAATAAATGCACAAAATAGATTAGATAGGAAAAATAAAGTGAGTTTTCGTCACCTTATTAGATGTAAATCAAAGTATTTGTAAGGGTTGTTTTAATAAAACTTTTCATCTTAAAATTAAATAGAGAATACTATACAGATTAGCATCCTATACATTAAATTTCTGCAATATAGGCGAATAACGTGTTCGATGAGAAAAACCAGTCTTACCCGCCTTTTTTTCTAACTTAACCAAAATGGACGTAAAACGAATAAAATTCTTATGTAGAATCCTTCAAAATATGCTTAAAAATTAAAATTAAGTCTATTATATACTTACACTAACCCCCCGGACACAACACAACACCAAAACGCTTAACTCTACGTGGTTTATTAACCCCTATGCTTCTTGGCCGTTATCAGGCAGCATGCTAACGGAAACGTTACATCAAATGAAATTTATTTTTTCCTTTTTATTTCACGAAAAATCGTAACGAAAATGATTAGGAAATCCAACACTCACCTATTAGAATTTCACTACGTTGATATACTCGTTTCCGTTTAAATGTAAAATGAATCTACTTGTAAAACGGCAGATCCGTTACCTTCCGCTCTTTAAAGTAAAGTTGTTTTGAAACTGGGAGACAGTTAGAAAATGCTTTCAATCTGATTGGTGGAGAGGTTATCTACCGACGCGACCTCTAACGTTAAAAAGTCGAACGTTTTCAACATGTGCTTTTGACAGGTCAACCTAACCCAACTTTTTATGCAATATCAAAACAAGAATATTTTGTGATGTTTTAATTGTTACGTTAAATTAATATTTCTTAAAATGTTTGAAAGAACATTTACCGTTAAATATTTAACGTTAAAAAAATGTTTTTGTTATATATCCGATAAACAAACTAGGGCGATTGACCAAGGAGTAAGTTTAATTTTATCTTATTTGTTTACTTTAATCAAAGATTCTTAAAAAATAAAATAACATTCTTTTAGAGTGCTGTTAAATTAACTAGTGGAACAAGCACCTTTTATTTTACAGTAGGAAGCTTTTTAGGTAATTTAAAGGAAACTGAGATTGGAATCAATGGAATTTATGCCAAAGCTTTGGGTCTTAAAGAAAAAGATCCTGTCATATTTAGTTTATGTAGCAAACCCATTCCTGGTGTTAAAACACTGGATATAACACCCCCTAATAAAGATGATTACGAAATTTTGGTAATTTTACATGAATTTGATTGAAATTCCAAGTAAAAACATTGATACTTATCAGATTAAAAAGTGCTTCATCATTGTAATTATTTGGAGTTTTTAAATTGTAATCATTTCATTTGATTTTTGCATTTTAAAAATGATTTTTTAAGGAATTAATGGCTAATGATGTACAATCAACTTTATTAAATCAATTAAGGATTGTTCAAAATAATCAAAAAGTTGTGATTTGGATATCAAATTCTTTAAATGTCATAGTTAATGTTGGTAAGATATTTTTAAGCTTACAAAGGCTTTGATCATATGCTTTGTTTTAAAATGTTAATATCTAATTTCAAAATTGCTAATAATAATAATACTGTGGCTTTGATTAATTAATGCATAATGCTAGTGTTTTCTTAAGGGAGAAGCTCATGTGTATGATATAATTATTTGACACTTCAAGTACTTATTGTAAAATAAAACTTACTTATTACATAAATTATACAGGTGTTTCTAAATTGATGCGAAAGACTTCAAGGAGTGATTTTTCTGCAAAAATTAAGCACTCTAAAGTTAGGGGAAACAAATGTTTTTATTTAACAAAATCCACTATGGAGGAATTTTATTCTATGGAAAATTTGGCAGATAACTGTTGCTAATAAAATGACACTTTTTGATGATTTTTATAACTCGAAAATGTTGTTACAAGGGGCTGAAAAAATCAACTCCTATAATACTTTTCATCAGAACTTTTGACTGCGTCTACATTTTTCTATTTGAAACGCAACTTTTTTGTCTCTTGACATTTTCTCCTAAAATTGTTAGTTTGATCACAAAAAAATAAAATAATACACTGGCTCAAGTGAATTAATTCAGAGAATGGTTATTATTAACTTAGCGTGTCTGATTTCAGGAAAACTGATTCACAGTAAGCAAAGTTTCTCATCAGCCCACAGTTCAATCCTATAGTTGACACACCAACTGTTGGCTCTGGCCCACAAATGCTTTAGCGCTGCTCTCTCGTGCTAGCTCATCTGCCGCTTCATTGCCAGCAACCTCAGAGTGACCTGGGAACCAGATCAGAGAAACCCTGTTATCACAACTCAGTGTGGTTAAAGTTCTTTTACAGTCATTAACCAGTCCCGACACCGTTTTCACGGCCTGCAACGCCTAGAGAGCGGCTTGACTGTCTGAGAAAAGTGGTGCTATCATGTTCTTCACTCCTTTCTCTAGAAGATTTTTCAGCACCCATGTCAGTAGCAAATACTTCCGTCTGGAATACAGTACAGTACGTACCCTACAGCCTAGGTAGCTTGCTTAATCCGAAGTGTCTGACAGTATACTCCTGCCTCGACCCCTTCCGTCGTTTTTGATCGATCTGTAATGCAAATATCTGCCTGAACCAAACAATTTCCGTTTTTGATCGAGGACAATCTGGTATCGAGCATTAATTACTGGTAGTGATCCCGTCAAATCTGACGGCATTGATAGCACAATATCAGTGCTTATAGTGTCTTCCCCACCCCATTGGTAGGATATGTCAGAGCAGTTTTGAGCATATTGCTTAAACCTGTAAATGGTAATTTTAGCCACTTTCTCTACATGCAAATGCTAAGGAGATAGTCCAAGCATAACATCCATTGCTAGAGTTGTCGTTGTGCTTATTGCACAATAAAACATCAAATCGACATGCTAAAACAAAAATTATTCAAATTGTATCAAAACGCTTTGCAAACAATTATTGCTTTCAAACGTAACCCAAAAGTAATTTGGGTTTAGCCATGTTAAGAGACGCATGGCTAAACCCGAATGTTTAGAAATGTTACTTATAATGTTTAAGTAACATATTTCAAGTTGAAAATGTTATTTTTAAGGTAGAAATGTCATTTTTACAGTTTAAATGTCAATTTAAAAGTGTCATATTGCTAACTATAAATGTCATTCTTAAGATTTACATGTCATATGTCAAGTGGAAATGCCTCTTTTTATCCTTAAAGTTGCATTATGTTAGTTATAAATATTACTTTTAGAATAGAAACATCACTTTTATATCAAAACGTCAAAAAAGTCGGATATTTTAAAATTCATGGAAGGGTTATTTATGGAAATTAAGAGGTGATTCTGCTATCAAATTGAAGCTGAAATCTTCCTCTTTAAAATGATATATGAAACATGGTAGGTTAAATTATAATTTTTTTGATAAAAACTTACATTTATGTTGCGATTTCAAGTTAATCTAAAAATGTGAAATGCAACCGAAATTTTAAAAAATCGTGGAAGGGTTATTTATGAATATTAAGAAATGGTTTTGGTATCAAATCAAAGCTGAAATGCCCCGCTTTAAAATGATATATGAAACATGATAGGTTGAATAATAAAAATTCTTTGATAAAAGGCTTGCAATTTTATGTTATCAACTTAACCTCAAAACGTCAAAAAAGTAGAATTTTAAAAAATCATGGAAGGGTTATTTATGAAAATTAAGAAGTGATTCTGATATCAAATTGAAGCTGAAATCTTCCTCTTTAAAATGATATATGAAACATGGTAGGTTAAATTATAAATTTTTTGATAAAAAATTGCATTTATGTTACGATTTCAAGTTAATCTAAAAATGTCAAAATACAACCGAAATTTAAAAAAATTGTGGAAGGGTTATTTATGAATATTAAGAAATGGTTTTGGTATCAAATTAAAGCTGAAATGTCCCTCTTTAAAATGATGTATGAAACGGGATAGGTTGAATAATAAAAATTCTTTGATAAAGGGCTTACAATTTTATGTTATCAACTTAACCTCAAAACCTCAAAAAAGTCAGATTTTTAAAAATTCATTGAAGGGTTATTTATGGAAATTAAGAAGTGATCGTTCTACAACCAAAATTAAAACAAACTTACGTCAGAAAACCTTTACAAGAGGTAAACATAATTACATTGATTTTAATTTTGGTTGTAGAACGATTTTGAAATGTATGTGTATTGTAGGATTTCTACTGATGACGGGCAGGGCCCGAAACCTGGTATAGAAAAATAAATTAAACGTATACATCATCTCAGTATAATTTTATTCAAAACCTACTGACTAATTACACCAGATGAAAAAGGATATAAAAGATTTTTATAAATGTTAAGATTCTGTTTAGGCTAATTCCAGCCATTTTCTTGTAGTGTATGTAATTCCTGCCTTTTCTAGTAATCTGTACTCTGGGGAGTGTAATTCTAGATATCTTCTCTGAATTCTCAGAACCTATAATCTATGCAGTGTGATACCAGACCACTTCTTATATCTGAAATTTATGTAGTGTATTTCTGCTTTCACAATTTGTTGTGTAGACTTCTTGTTGAAGTCTGGTGTCTGGCCGATGCAATTTCAGACTTATTCTTCCCATTTTGACACTTCCAATGTAATTCCAAACATTTTCTTGTAGTTAGAGTTGGCTAGTATCAGACATTTCTCTTGGAGCTATTTTGTCAACGTTGTGATGTGAGGCTTTTCTGCATCAAATTCGTGTGATTCTGATGTTGGTTGAGAGATCCAGAACACTGCATACTTTAAATAGTTTTATTTAGTCATACTTTTTTCATGAAAAGCGTTGCACAATCATTGTTGCAATTTTGTTACTCTGTTTAAAACGGTATGATTAAAACGTTTTGTTCATTTACGTTTTACATTTGTCACAAATACAATTTTTTTGCTATAAGTAACTAAATATATTCCCATAAATACCATTCTTGTAGATGGTGTAAAGCCAGTATCTCCAGGGCGTCTCGACCAGTTAACCGAAGTGGTCATTAAACCACCAGTTGTTCACACCAACCCCAAGAAAGTCGATGCAAAAGAGAACGGCGGTGGCATATGGAGCATAAATGGTTTCCTCAAATATTTCGCGCCTAACAAACCCGTCCAAGAAGAGAGTATTCTCGACATTTACAAAGCGATCGGTGTTCCCTTTGTGTTTCGTCTCCACCCCTTGGCGGACGTCCTTCGTTGTCCTAGTCCTAATCTGGCAAACAATACCAGTAAGAACGTTTTTAATGTTTACGCGTCGAAAAACGTGTTACCTCGATGTGTGGAAAAACGGGAGGATTTAGTTTTTTCCTTCCGCCCGATTTTGCCACCAAGAGATTTTAAATACACCGATGATAATGATGCGGTTAATGATATTTTGGTCCGGTTGTGTTTATTGGATGATACTAAAAATGTTATTGGTGATGGAAATGAATATTTTAAACCGTTATTTGTTGATGAAGGAATTTTTAAACATTATGATGTTGAGGTTGGATCGAAGGTTCTATTGAGACATATTGATAAAGTTGAGGAAGTGAATAAAATTGAGATATGCACTAGTAAAGGATTTGTCAAAGAGATTAAAGAAAAATTTAAATTTTATATCGGGGAAAATTGTAAAGATGGGAAATTGATTCTTAATTCGAATTTTGTTATAAATATTTCTGATGAGCATCAAGTTTTGCTAAAATTTACACCGAATGATTTAAAATCGTGTTTTGTTGATAGCGATTTTATAAGAAATGGTCAATTAACTGTTGGTGAATTACAATTACCTGATTTTTCACCAAAAGTAATTGATAAAATCGAAAAATTTGATGAGATTTGTTTGGATTTTTCAAATTTTAAAGAAATTTTGGATGGGTGTTATACTTGTTGGAATATAGGATGTAAAGATATTAATAATTTGGAAAATATTCTTATAACTGGTAAACCTGGTTGTGGAAAATCAACTTTAGCACAAGAATTTTCTAAAAAAATATCAACATCGCCTATTTATATTCATGTCGAAACCATATCTTGTAAAGAAATTAAAGGAAAAACTGTAGATTCTTTGCACAAATTTTTTGAGGGGAAATTTATGAAACTGGTTTATTACCAACCAAGTTTATTAATTTTGGACGATTTACATGTTATTTGTGAGAACGTTATTGACGGAGCAGAACCGACACAACAAAGTTTATTATTTAATAGGTTAGTTTACTTCAAATATTTTTAATTAATAAAATTAACTCAAAATTTTTTTAAAGAACGAGCGAAATCTTGGCATCTTTATTCAACGATCTTCTAAAAAAACATTTCATTCAAATTATCGCAACGGCAGAGTCAACTTTAAAATTAAATAAAAACATTTTCGATTCAAGAGGAGTACATTTTTTCAAAAATATATTCACAATTAAAGAACTGAACAAATTAGATCGAATAAGTTTATTAAAATTTGCCTTTGAAAAAGATACAAACATCGAGGATGTTGATCTCGAAAATTTAAGCTCAAAAACTGAAGGATATGTTGCTCAAGATTTAGTTGATCTAGTTAATAAATGCATTTTCGAATCATACAAAGATGGTAAGTTAAATTTTTTTGTTTTCATTGAAATAAATTGAAATAAACGAAAAGAAAATCTTGTAATTTTGAACCAATTCACTTTTCCGCCCTCTGATTCTATATTAGAACTATTGATGAGCACATGGGGATAAAGAGGGGGATGAATGTCCTAATTAAGGGGACCTAAGGGGTCCGTAAGTTGGGAAACCTTTCCTTAAATAGTTCACATTGTAAACTAACTTGCTCGAATTTCTAAAGGGAGAACTTTTTTTCACATACTTTTGCAGAACTCGCCACCGTCAATAATGACCACTGTTTAAAAGCTTTAGAAGCATCATCTTCGTTATCTTTAAGAAACGTTCAATTACATACTCCTGGCAATCGAGATTTTTCTGATATCGGTGGATTAGAAGACGTTAAAAAAGTTTTAATTGAAAGCATGTTATGGCCCGCACAGGTATGGTAATTATTTTTTTTAAATGTATTTGTAAGTGTTTTTTTTTGTTTAATTTAGTACGCAAATATATTTGCAAACGCCCCTTTGCGGTTACAATCGGGATTACTGTTGTATGGTCCGCCTGGTACGGGGAAGACGATTTTGGCAGGTGCTGCAGCTAAACAATGTAATCTCAGGCTAATTTCCATAAAAGGTCCTGAACTACTGTCGAAGTACATTGGGGCGAGTGAGCAAGCTGTGAGGGATGTCTTTGAGAAGTAGGTATCCCACTGAGCAACAGTCATTTCTAATCGTTTGATCTCCTTTTTTTGATTTATTTTTCTTTTTTCAACAGAGCCCAAAGTGCGAAACCTTGCATTTTATTTTTCGATGAATTTGACAGTTTAGCACCTAGGTAAGTAGTTTATTTTATTATTGTTTTTCTTTAAAACTGCTCGATAAGAAGTAGTGTTGCCAAAAACTATTTCGCAGTCTTCTACATCATAGGAATCAATTTATTAAGTAAAGTCAATACCTGAAAATGCAAAAAAAAAATACTTTTTGCAACTAATGTCATTCACATCTGAAAAAACGAATCTTATCCAACTAATTTAGCAAGTCAAAGCTAAACTTGCAAACTTGCAATTTCTTAAGAAGTAATCTGACTACTTCTGCCCTGTCAATAAGTAAGAAATTCTTCATAAAGTTACCATTTAAACGTTTTTTACAAGCGCAGGTAGACGACAAGGCAAAAACTAGTTAAACGCAAGGTATTCTAATTTAAAGCCAAAAACTGCATTATATCATCCATAAATTAAGTGGAGATTTTACGTATGATGCAATTATCAATTTGCATGTCAATTTCCACACCCCGTACGGGACTCTTATTGTTTACCTTATTCAGTGTCTTGTTGTGTAAAATTAACAATTTAAATTCTCGAGTTAGGATAAACCGGCTTGGAATGGAACCCTGCCATAAATCGAAGGCTACCTGCACACGCACTCATCTCCATTAAGAAAATAATATAGCGTAAAAAAAATTATGCTAGCTTTAGAAAGAGAAAAACGACTATGACAGAAAAATGTTAATAAAAGGTTCCTCTTTCCAATGAACCAACACGTTTTGAAAAATTACTTTTAGTTTTTGAGAAAACAATATTTGAAGTTTTGATAAAATTTTCGATGTGGCAATTTTCATCGATAATTTTCAAAATTCGCTATGAAATTTATTTCTTGAAGGATCCTTGTGGAAATATCACCAATTATTAATTAAAGCATCCTCTTTCTAATGCAAAAAGCCGTTTTGAAAAATCACCTTCAGTTCTTGAGAAATAAATTTTTGAAATGACCGACAATTTTTTCGAATTTAGCAATTTTCGCCGATTAAGCTTTAAAAATTCGTATAAAATCCATTTCTTGGAATATGAGTATGAAAATTTCCCAAAATGTTAATAAAAGTGTCCTCTTTCCAATGAACCAACACGTTTTGAAAAATAACTTTTAGTTTTTGAGAAAACAATATTTGAAGTTTTGATAAAATTTTCGATGTTGCAATTTTCATCGATAATTTTCAAAATTCGCTATAAAATTAATTTCTTGAAGGATCCTTGTGGAAATATCACCAATTATTAATTAAAGTATCCTCTTTTTAATGCAAAAAGCCGTTTTGAAAAATCACTTTTAGTTCTTGAGAAATAAATTTTTGAAATAATCGACAATTTTTTCGAATTTTGCAATTTTCGCCGATTAAGTTTTAAAAATTCGTATAAAATCCATTTCTTGGAATATGAGTATGAAAATTTCCCAAAGTGTTAATAAAAGTGTCCTCTTTCCAATGAACCAACCCGTTTTGAAAAATAACTTTTAGTTTTTGAGAAAACAATATTTGAAGTTTTCATAAAATTTTCAATGTTGCAATTTTCATCGATAACTTTCAAAATTCGCTATAAAATTAATTTCTTGAAAGATCCTTGTGGAAATATTACCAATTATTAATTATAGTGTCTATATAGTATAATTATATTATCAGAAAGCATATCTGGCTTAGATATTACCTAGGAGACAAATTATCTTAGATATTAACTGTGCCAGAAACTACAAAATTAGCAAGCTGCAGATCATGATCATCTTTACAAAAATGAAGGTCTACAAGAATGATCAACATCCATTAATTCATGACGTACTTATCCATGAGTTATTCGTGAAATAAGACTTGTTTAAAATCGGTGGGATGATTTGGGAAATTCCTCTTGGCAACAATTTTATGTATTTAATTTTTTAATGTTCATCCACTTGAAAGTTTATTAATATTAATAGTTTTTTAAAAAAATTTAAAATCATTTGACTTTTATTCTGGTTACGGTTTTTATACTTCCTCCATTTTTTGGATGACTAAAAGATTTTTGTTGTGAATCGATTAGTAATGGATCTAAATCGTGCAACTTTATGGTACAATTTGGTTATGTTTACGAGAAATTCGCAGATGTACTTAATCGAAACTCAACGTTTCGCAATTTATGAATGACGCACCCCAGAGTATGAAAAGCCCGAATTCCCGTAACGTATTTGTCTACGAACGAAAATTTCGTTAGGAGAGGCTGTTTCACCTGCGCCCGGGTACCACATCCTCAGATTTGATTTTACCTGAATTCGACCCTTCTTTTTCTAACCGAAACTTTGTGCGCCACTTTTACCCTTCTTAAAACTTTCGTTATTTCATATTACATGTCATCTTTTTCAGTTTATTATAAAGTTATGTTTATATATTTTTTTTTTTGAGAAGATTTTTGTTTTAAAATTATAAATAAGATTGCAAATATTAAAGACGTTTACTTTGCAGACGTGGCCACGACAATACCGGTGTAACGGATAGGGTAGTGAATCAATTCCTGACACAATTAGACGGGGTTGAATCCTTGACGGGCGTCTGTGTCCTCGCGGCGACTTCCAGGCCTGACCTTCTCGATCCAGCCCTTCTTAGGCCGGGCCGACTTGACAAGCAGATCTTGTGCCCCCTTCCCGATCAGGTAATTCAATACAGAAGTGAACAATTCTTCTCCGCTTTTTTTTTCATTCTCTTGTTCGCCTTCATTTTTTTTCTTTTACATTGAAACTTCTATTTCAGCCGGCGAGGTTAGCAATTTTAAAATCATTATCGAAAACGCTTAACTTTTCAAATGATGTCGATTTGGGGGAGATTGCTTCTACGACTCATGGATTTTCTGGAGCTGATCTTCAAGCAGTTTTATATACCGCCCAGATGAGCGCTGTAGAACATTTATTAGATGATCCAGTGGTAAGTTAATGTTGCTTTTAGATTAAATTTTGTGAAAGAAACTAGAATTTTTTGTGTAATTTTAATGTGTGGAGTTAATGATTATTTTTGTGATGGAATTTGGTAATTGAAGGTGAGTATAATTATTGTATTTATGATTTATGTGTAAGTATTAGGAAACTATTTTTTTAAACTATTATTAAACTGACATAATATTTCACGATTATTTATGGTTTCTATTCATTCGGTTTTTCATGTATTTGTTCCATAAATAAGAAAACGGGCATACAGCAAGACAGGCAGTAATCTTTATGGTCGAAAATTCCCTAAAATGAGTCGCTTGTGGTAGCTATAAGACTCCAGGTTAACTTACCTGCAAGTTAAAACATTTACTTATACTAATATCTGAAGGATAGTGCAAGGTGGCTTAATATTTAATGTTCACTAAAAATGATTGAGCTGCTTCGATTATTGCCCTAGATATATTTTATTTGTAAGGATCTATTTTAAAATCGTTCTTTATTTGATTTCATCCCCATCTGTTGACGAGAAGGGCGAACATCATTTTATACTAATTCTGTAAATGTGTTCATCTCTGTAAATGTTGTTTCGAGTATATTAAGAAAAAATACAAAGATTTTTTAAAAACCTGATCATATTCCAAAGCAAATTTATTTCCTAAATGTTCATAAATTATGAATTTTCAAGATAAAATATAATAATAACTTTTATTATATTATATCTGTGGTGAATCATCATTGTATTTTTAATTTTGATCATTTTCATTTCTCAAAATTTCTAAAGAGTGCTTGGTATAACGGTAGATTACTGTGAACTTTTGGTTTAAACTCCCCACCTCTTAAGTCGGCTATTAGGGGCGCTAATGCCAAAGACTTGAATCTCGTTATAAAGTAATCAAGATAGCGGCTCGCCTCTCCTGTACATAATCCGAATGATATTGTTATCAAGCAATGCGCCCTCGAGTAGTTAGGGCGCGGCGACTATCTTGCCAAGGTTAATAAAGCAAAACGGGCAGGAGAGCGTCTTGAAATTGCCTGGAAGGTGTCGTCGTAACAACGTCGCGACGACGACGTCTTCTCCTTCCCACTATCTTCATCATGGACCAAGGGTGTTAATTTCAAGCGATATCATCAACACTATAATGATGCATGAATGTGAAATAAGTATTAATAAATTAAGTAAAGCATTTTTTTATTAATTTAAATTGAAATATTAATTATGTAAAGAAATGTTGAAAGGTCTTGTTAAATTATTCCTAGGGTATAATCCAATTTCCAAGTCGACTTCATCTACGATTTCATAAACATCGGGGTAAAATAATGCAAAAAATAAACTCCCGTTTAATGGTGATCCATATTGTCGCGTTGAATGTAGACCTTAAATTATATAATTTTTAATGATTATGTTAAACAATAAGAGGATAATTTACCAGATTTTTTATGGAGCGTATTTTTCTTTAAATTGGTTCTTCCTCCGATTACAACAATAACCCCCAAAATTAATACAAAACTAAATAAGAATGTCTTCATTGTTACGATTCTTTAATAAAACTATATAAGTGATAAAATTTGTCATTTAAATATAGTTTTTAATCAAATAATTTCAAAAATGTTTATGTATTAAAAAAATATTTGATTAATAGTATTGCGTATAACCAAAGTTCATTAATCATTAATTAATTACCATTGTGCGTTGTAAAATTAATAAATACCACACGTTATTGAGATTTGCACACTAACCATGATCAAGTTTTTGTTTGGGTTTTCGATTATTTATTTTTTAAATTTGTCATTTTATGAGACAACGCATATAAAAAATGGAGATGTTGATAAATGTAAGATGTCTGAATACTTAAAATTATTGATTTTTATGAAATCAATTCAATTAATTTAGTTAAACACCGTGATGAGACGTTTTGGAAAAGCTTTTGGGGCACAATGTTTACTTGTAAGGAAAACTGTGTAATCGATTTATCATCAGAAAATAACACCAACACATCAGTAAAACTTGATGATCAAGATTCTCCTGATTTAGGTATTTCAACCCAACCCAATTGTATGTTGGACGTTATGTCGCTTTAATTTATAGATAATTTAGGACTTGATAGTTCGAAAGAACCCAAAAAAATAAAAAAGAAGAAACGAAATAAATCTAAAAATAGTAAAAAAAAACAAAGACGCAAGAAGAAAGGCCAAGACAACCAAGGTGATTGATTTCATAAAAATAAGAATAAATAAATGATGTTTCTTTTTAGATAATAAATTGGATGATGAATCTGAAAAAAGCGAAAATAAAAAAGCTAATAAAAAACGTAAATCTAAAAGGGGTCGATCAAAATCAGCAAAAAAAGGAAGGAGGAGACGCAAAAAAATTGATTCTAATAAATCACAAAATTCAACAGTTCAAGGAGATCAATTGACTCAAGTTGATCAGAAAGGGAATCTAGATGACATCAATAATAATTCAACACAAGAAGAATCTAATCCGATTATTGATAAATTTAATGATAAATCTAATGATACACTTGATGGGAAAGTAGATGATAAATCTAATGGAAAAAAGAATGTTGAGGGTGAATCAAAAGATCAAAACGAAAATGATGGAAAAATAACTGAGGAACCATACAATCAGGAACCAAGAGAATTGATAGAATTAAATAACCACGAAGTAGTTTCTGATTTACCACAAATGAACAATACTCAAGAACACGCGAAATCAACATCCCATGAGTACGAGGGTGCTGAATCACTAAATGATTCTGATGATGCTAGTAGATATGACGAAAAAATTACCGAGGAACCATACAATCAGGAACAAAGAGAATTGGCGGAATTAAATAACCACGAAGTTGTTTCTGATTTTCCACAGATAAACAACACTCAAGAACAAGTGAAATCAACATCCCATAAGCAGGAGGGTGCTGAATCACTAAATGATTCTGATGATGCTAGTAGATTAATTGAAGAAAAAGTAGAACAATAATTGAAAATGTTTCAATATAACAAATTGTCAACAAATAAAAAAAATATCTATACATGTTTTCTTTTTTTTTCATTGTTTGATTTTTACTTAAACATAAAATAAAAAATGTAATTAATAAGAACATTAATTAAATAAAATACTTAGTAACTAATCCATCAAATTAAATTAGGTGTATCATAATATGATAAATTAAATTTGCTCCCACATTTCATGATTCATTTCCTTTCATATTGCTTTAACTTTTTATTGATAAATTAATTTCTATTTCTGATCGAAATCAATATTTTCTTAACGTATTACGTTAACGTACAATGTTTCGATCACAAACAAGGTCAAATATGGTTAAAATTTTATTCACATTAACAATTATTTTCGTAACATTTCTTCCGGTACTAGAAGCGTTTCCTACAGAGGAATTAGAAAGTAAGTTACGTTAAATAACGTTAAACATTTTCTTCATATAATTATTATTAATTAATTAGCCGAAAATGATGAGATAACTGTGGATGATGATACGCCAGTGCAACGAATGTCTTCGCATAGACAATATTGGAATAATTTTTGGGGTGATTTGTTTAGTTGTAAATTTAATTGCTCCGAACCGCCACGTCTCAGATCAATAGGACCAAGTCCGTTTGGTCAACCGGACATTTCACCTGTTAATAATAAGAAGAATAAATCTCAACCCCCAACTAATATAGATACTAGTAAAAATGAAAAGGAGGAAGAAGAAAAAAATGACGATGAAGTTAAGGATAATGATGATGATAATGATGATGAGGATGAAGAAAATAATGAAGATGATAATGTAGATGGGGATGAAGAAAATGATGAAACTGATAATGATAACGATAACAATGACGAAAATACGGAAAATAATGATAATGAAGATAAAAACATAAATAAAAATGATGAGGAGGATGAGAGAGAGGCTTATCCGTTGCAGCCAATTCAACAAAAATTTAATTTTTAATAAATTGTTATTTGGATATTAAAATCTAATAAATGTATCATTAAAATCATATATTGTAAGAAATTATTTAATCCTTTTTTTAATTTTCTTTCATGGAAACTTTAAATTAGCGCTATTATTATTATGGGTATGCTTTTTTAATCGCTTTACCCATAAATGTCACACGGTTGAGTTGTTAAACGTTTTACGACTTATTCTAATTAAATGATTAATGTAACTGTTTGTATTTAACTTTTAATAGATGTTGGCTTTTTTTTTAATCCGTTATTGCGTTATTAGTTCGTCTACTTAAAATGTATCCAAATTTGCCCCCCATTCTTTTATACATTTCTCTTGCCCAGCCACCTGACGTAAATTATCCTTTTGGCGTTCCATTTCAATATGGACCTCCAATGGTGGGTTTCCCACAAATACCATATGGGTATAATTCTGCTTATTATCCTTTTAATTTGGGCGTTTCATCCCCTATTAAAGGGAATTGCGATCAAGGTAGGAATCATATAATTAAAGTATCCTCTAGTTAAATTAAATGATTTTAATATGAAAGTGGGTTCGGCTTCTTCAGGAATGACGCCTAACATGGAAGCAATTCGTAAGGATTTTAGGGGGCCAAAAGGTATCAAAGAAAATTAGATTGTAATTTTAGTATAATAGAACTAAACTATTTGTAGAGAGGAGCTCAAATCAGGGAGCTAGATCAATGAGAATAGAAGTACAAAACACGGAAAATTCGCAACCTGTTGTGAAAATGAAGCTTGATAATAATGGCAAAGAAATGGCACAAACGTTTCAGCTTCCATTTGGATATCAACCTCAAAACTACCAAACATTTGGGCCAAATCAAAACAACAACCAACAATATATTCCTTTGGTAAATGTCGCGGATAAACATGCACCTCTTCCTGGAGCTAGATCAATGAACCTTGCTGTTCAATATCCAGGAAATTCTCAACCTATAGTGGAAATGAAATTTGATAGTAATGGCAAAGAAATGGTGCAATCGTTTCAGATTCCTTCATTAGATCCAAACAATAATCAATTTAGACCGTTTGACTATCAACGTCAATACTACCAAACGTTTTGGCCGAACCAATATATTCCTGTGTTAAATGTTGCGAATAAAAACACTCCTTTCCCTGGAGCTAGATCGATGAGTCTTGCAGTTCAAAAGCAACTAAATTCTCAACCTGTAGTGGAGATGAAACTTGATAATAATGGCAAAGAAATGGCACAAACGTTACAGATTCCTTCAATACATTTAATCAATAATCAATTTAGACCGTTAGGGTATCAACCCCAATACTACCAAACATATAGTGCAAATCAAAACTATAATCAACAAAATGTTCCTTTGTTAAATGTCGCAGATAAACTTGCACCGTTTCCTGGAGCTAGATCAATGAGCCTTGCAGTTCAAAACCAAGGAAATTCCCCACCTGTAGTGGAGATGAAACTTCATAGTAATGGCAAAGAAATGGCACAAACGTTTCAGCTTCCTTCAATAGATTTAATCAATAATCAACTTAGACCATTAGGGTATCAACCCCAATACTACCAAACATATGGCGCAAATCAAAACTATAATCAACAAAATGTTCCTTTGTTAAATCCAATCAATAATCAAGTTAGACCATTTGAGTATCAACGTCAATACTACCAAAAGTTTTGGCCGAACGAAAACATCAATCAACAAAATGTTCCTGTGTTAAATGTTGCGAATAAAAACACTCCTTTCCCTGGAGCGAGATCGATGAATTTTGCAGTTCAAAACCAACTAAATTCTCAACCTGTAGTGGAAATGAAACTTGATAACAATGGCAAAGAAATGGCACAGACTTTACAGCTTCCTTCAATAGATTTAATCAATAATCAATTTAGACCATTTGGGTATCAACGTCAATACTACCAAACATATTGGCCGAATCAAAACACCAACCAACAAAATGTTCCTTTGTTAAATGTTGCGGATAAAAATACTCCTCTCCCTGGAGTTCAGGAAGAGCATCATCAACATCACACTCCAAATAAAAATATCAGCCAACAAAATGTTACTTCATTCCACATCAACTTACCCGCCTTTGGAGCTAGAGCGATGACTCTCACAGTTCAAAACTCGAGTGATTTTCGGCCTTCGTTAACAATGAAGCTTGATAATGATAGTAAGGAAATGATTCTAAATCTTAAGTATCCCTCAACAGATTTACCTAATCAATTTGGTCACAATATATCTCAAAATCCAGAAAGAAATCAACAACAACCTCAAAATTTAGAAAGAAATCAACAACAACCTCAAAATCCAGAAAGCAATCAACAACAACCGCAAAGTCAAGAACATCAAAATCTTTCTTCATCAGATGTTGCGAATAACTTACCTGTATCTGGAGCTAAATTTATAAATCGTGCAATAAATGGTAGTTATGAACCGGTTCAAAATAGCCAACAACAACCTCAGGAAGAAATCTTGGACCAGCAAGGTGATTCGCCGTTGGATGTTGTAGATAAAGCTTCACCTATTTCCGGAGCTAGATCTATAAGTCATGAACAAAAAGCTCCAAAAAATTCTGGCCCTGAAGCGGAAAAGGATCTAGATCAAAACAATCAACAAAATCAAAATCATGAATCTACCCATCAAAAACCTCCTCAATTTGACAAACAAAATATTTCAAATATTCCGGACAAAAACTCACCTTCATCCGGAGCAAGATCAAAGAGTCTCGATATAAAAAATCCAAATTCTCCACCTCATTTACAAATACCAGTTGATAATACTACAAATGGTAATCACGGACTGGTGCAAAATAATCAACAACAACCTCAGGAAGGAATCTTGGACCAACAAGGTGATTCGCCATTGGATGTTGCAGATAAAGCTTCACCTATTTCCGGAGCTAGATCTATAAGTCATGAACAAAAAGCTCCAGAAAATTCTGAACCTGAGGCGAAAAAGGATCTAGATCAAAACAATCAACAAAATCAAAATCATGAATCCACCCAGCAAGAACCTCCTCAATTTGACAAACATAATATATCAGATATTCCGGATAAAAACTCACCTTCATCCGGAGCAAGATCAAAGAGTCTCGATATAAAAAATCCAAATTCTCCACCTCATTTACAAATACCAGTTGATAATACTACAAATGGTAATCACGGACTGGTGCAAAATAATCAACAACAACCTCAGGAAGGAATCTTGGACCAGCAAGGTGATTCGCCATTGGATGTTGCAGATAAAGCTTCACCTATTTCCGGAGCTAGATCTATAAGTCATGAACAAAAAACTCCAGATAATTCTGGACCTGAGTCGAAAAAGGATCTCGATCAAAATAATCAACAAAATCAAAATCATGAATCTACCCAGCAAAAACCTCCTCAATTTAACAAACAAAATATTTCAGATATTCCGGATACAAACTCAACTTCATCCGGAGCAAAATCAAAGAGTCCCGATATAAAAAATCCAAATTCTCCACCTCATTTACAAATACCAGTTGATATTACTACAAATGGTAATCACGGACTGGTGCAAAATAATCAACAACAACCTCAGGAAGGAATCTTGGACCAGCAAGGTGATTCGCCATTGGATGTTGCAGATAAAGCTTCACCTATTTCCGGAGCTAGATCTATAAGTCATGAACAAAAAACTCCAGAAAATTCTGGACCTGAGGCGAAAAAGGATCTAGATCAAAACAATCAACAAAATCAAAATCATGAATCGACCCAGCAAGAACCTCCTGAATTCAACAAACATAATATTTCAGATATTCCGGATAAAAACTCACCTTCATCCGGAGCAAGATCGATGAGTCTAGATATAAAAAATCCAAATTCTGGACCTGAGGTAGAAATGAAGCTGGATCACAATGGCAATAACATGACACAGAATTTTAAACTTCCTCCAACAAATCCGTTTTACCAACAACTGCCGCGGTCTAAAGAAGCTAATGAAACAGATCCAAATTATTCTGAAATATATAAAGAAAAAAATCCAGAAGTTAATAACGAAGGTAAATTGCAAGTAATGAATCCTACAGATAAATCTCAACTCGTAAATTCGTTAAATAACACAAACACAACTACAGCTGGATCGGGATATAGAAATCGCACAGCAACAATTCAATTTGCAAATCAATTACATGTATATAGTTATAATACAAGTGTTTTCCCAACAATACAAAGATTCAATATATATAACCAAACTATTATGAACAAGCGTAGACCAGATCAGAATAAAGGAAATTATCCAATAAAGCAGTACACAGCGAATGCTAGGCGTCAAGACACAAGAGGTTCGTCAAAACAGAAATCATCACCGAATAATGTTAAACCTAAAGAGTTGGGCACGGTGGATGATAAAGTTGATTCTTTTCAATTAGCTCTCATAACGATTTTGGATAGAGGTCCAAAACGGCAAAATAATAATAAAGAAACAGAATCAAATTCAGGGCAAGTTGGAAAAGATTGTAGACCTTGTAGAGCGCCAGTTGCGAAACAACAAAACAAAGCTGTTGGAACAAAACCCAAAGAGGCAATTCCAGTCGAGGATAAAGTTGATGGTTTTAAAATAGCCCTTATGACAATTTTGCAACAAAAAGAAGTGGAAAAAAAGGTGACGCCGCCACCAAGTTTAAAACTTCTTCGGAGGCAAGATCCAGAGAAATTTAAATATGCCCTCTTTCACTTATTAAATAATTAGAATAGAAATTTATTTGTGATCAACTCTGTTTTATTATTCTTTTTGGTTTACAATAAAAAAAAATGTCTAAATCCAGTAACTATCCGAGTTGTTGTCTTACAACATGAATTTAGCCGAAATAAAAGGAAGTCTTGCCCGGAAAATGAGGTCCAACATTTTCGACATCATTTAGGTGGTCTTGACCGTTATCTTCTTCCTACTGGGTTATTCAATTTTGCCTTTTTAAGAAGTCTCGTCTTCCATTCTTTTTATATGTTTGTCCAAGAATATTCGTCTTTGCCTGAGCCATCTCTTCTTATGTCCTTTATATTGTTGTCTGGTATCTTCCTTCTGTATTTTGTTGTGTAAAGTTTTGTCTTGTATGTTTCTTAGTGTTTTCATCTCGACTCTTCTCATGACTTGTAGAGTTCTGCTTGTAACCTGTCATGTAGTAACCTTTGGAGGTTGCCCACAAAATCTGCAATAAGGACAACATCATCAACGTAACATACGGCTTGGAAGAGTGTCTCCCATTTTGAATCCAGCTGTTCTGGAAAGGTTTTCTAGTTTTTATATCTAATCCCTGCGTTTACATCTATATCTTCCTAAAACGTATAAACGTTTTCACAATAATTATCTTTAATTAATTTATGGCAAATAAGTTTCAACTAAAATATATAATAACAATAAATTAAAGTTGTAAAGAAATAACTTTATTATTATTTAACTGTAATGAAATACATTTTGAATTTATATTGTTATAAATTTTAAAACTGTGTAGATGATGAATTGGTGGATGATGGAGTTGTAAAATTTCCAAAAAACCAACTAGACGTAGAGTTATATTGTCCCGTAGTATTTGTAGATATCGTTGTAGATGTCGTTGTAGATGGCGTTGTAGATATCGTTGTAGATGTGTTCCCATTTCGATTCACTATTAAACAAAAAATTAAAATGTCCATAAATTTCAGTACAAAACCTGATATCTTACGGTGGTGCTTTCTGCTGCCATCGTAACTTTTTTTGGTAAACCAACTAATAACCGCTGAAATCGGATTTACTTCTTGTTTATCGGTGTTAACTTGATTAATCACTGGTACAATTGGTTCGTACACGCTTGGAACCCCATCTGTATTATTTCCACTCGAATCACGTTTTAAGTGATATTTCTTGTGATGAACAACATGCTTTTTATTTGATTCTAAAAAAGATTTCGAATCCAATTTTAGTTTTTTATGATGAAATAATTTTTTATTTTATTTATACCTGCTACAACAACAAATAATAACGCGATAGCTAAAAGTGCTAATTTCATTATAACGAAATGCTTATTGAAGTGTTATCTAGAAGAGTTCGATAAGCTTAATGATTCGTGCCTAATTATCCAACCAAATTTATAGTAATTATAATAAATTATTAAAAAATTCTTAAAATTTTTATTGTTAACATCATTTATCTCTTTCACTTTGGTGCGCTTAAATATTTTAATTTTAAATTAATTTTTAAAGAGGTGAATTTTAATTGATCCACGTGATAAATAACTTTTCATAGTGCTGCGTAATGTTGACGAACTCAACTATTTAGGTGGAATTACAATTATTCAATGGAAAAATAACTAAAAATGACAGTTTTTAAATGGCAGTTATAAATTATTTGAAACATTTTTACGCATTTTTTTAGAATGCTGGTTTATGTCAACATGTTTATTTCGGTATATTATTTAATTATTATATGTATTATTTAATCTTACTTTATGATTTGGAGAAAGAATTAATACAAAAAGATTAACTCAAGAAAATAACTTTATTTTAAATACTATCATTTTATACATTATTTAATTTCTCTTTATGATGTGATGATTCTTAGCACGTTTTTTATTAAAGAAATCGATGTCATTAAAGAGAGGATTAATTTCATCGCTTCCAGAATCAATATCAGTAGCCACCACCAAAGTAGGTTGATAAATTATGATGCACGATTCATTTCCAGTAATATTCCTGAAATCTGTATAGTTGAATACATTGTCAGGGTAATTCCATGAGTTATTGTTGGGATAATTATTTTCAGTGGATGTGTTATTAAAATTCGGTCCATCACGTTTTAAATGATTTTTCTTTGAATGTTTTTTATTTGGAGCTAAAATTAATTAAAATGAATAAATTATTTCAAATTAAGAATATATAATTTTACCTGCATAAATTATTACTAAAATAGTAATAATAAAGGTGAAAAATAATACAAATTTCATAATAATAGATTAAGTTCGATCTATTTCTTAAATTGAAGTTGAATAATGGTGTGAAGGCGATTTTTTTTTGCTTTTATACTTAGAATTGGAATTTTTGAAAATCATTATTTTGTTTATTTACTTCCTTTATACAAAAAAAAATTGATTATTTTTTCCAACAATAATTATTTTCAAATCGTTTCGATATAATCCTTCATCGCTACGACATTTACATTCCTATCATTTTTACCTGACTATGCAAAATGTTCATTCGTATTAAATAACCTTGCCGCAATGAAAAACACCCTAGTTGTAGTTGCGACGATGAAGACTACACTTTACTTTTTTATGTTCTGCCTACTTTTTGCGATTACTTTGTCTGGTAAGTGTTATTGACTTAAAATAATTTTTACGTATAACCAATTATTATTGTAGCACCGCAAACAAAAAATCATAAACACCATAAAACACATCATCATAAACGCGATGGATATGGGGGTCCAGATGAAACTGTCACAGGGATAGGAACTACTACCCCTTCGATAAACTCCAGTATTGTTAACGAAATTTATTTAGATGCATTTTCAAACATTCTCAAGAATACTGATGAATGGAGAATTCCTATTACAAATGATAGCGTTCAATTACAAGATTTACTATAATGTTCAAAACTAAAAAATTAAACTGTTTCTTTTTGTAAATGCTTTTTTAATTATTAATAGTAACCATAAAGTCCATTTTCCATTTTAGACTATTATACTATTTGTCTATATGGCTCCAAATCCTCCATATAATTCAACTGACCCATCATATCCTTCAAATCTTACGATTTCGTGAAACCATCCTACAACATACGATATAACAACTTTGTATTTAAATAAAACGCATAATAGTTGAGATATTAGGCTGAAATTTATTCCAGGTGTAGTACACATCTTACATTTAACTATGGAATTCGATATCGTTCATATGAACCTCATAAAAAGGAATCTAACGGCGTTAAATGATATAATCGAGATGTTTGGCCTGCTGTGTGGCAAGCGACACCATCTTGTTAGAACCACATAACTCTGATGTCAAGCCCATCCAATTTTGGCCAAAAATAGTCTTTCAAATGATTGGCAATTCACCGTAATGGAGAAAAAATGTGGTCCACATACACTTTCGGCATGAAATCCACGCCGTACGGCCTTTTTTGTGGTTGTAATGGAGTTTCTTGAAGCACATGTGGATTTGTTGTTGTGCAATAATGCCATTATCAAATTAGTACTTTTTCAATGCTCTAATACCATAAACAGATGAGGTACTGATATGTTCATATTTGTACTTATATACAAAACGGTTGAAACTGGAGGACCATATCTTATTATAAAGGATCACAAAAATTATCTCACTAACTAGGACCTGCTTGGCTAAAACTATAATCAGGAAATATTCACAGATGCAACTTCACATTAAGAAGATGTTTTATACTATATTAAAGAACATTCAAACTGATAGATTTGAATTAACTTGAGGTTGTGGATTTTCAAAGTGTATACATTTGTCAAAATCTCAAAGTGAAGCAAGAAGCTGAAGAGCTAAAAATTAGCTCTATTCATAGAATAACAATAAAATAATTAAACTATTTTTTTATAATGCTTTTTTATTTAACATTGGATATTGTAGAATATAAGACGTCTTTAGTGATTATTAATAACCCAGAGCACAAGGTTAATTTTTCTTTTTAGAATGCTGTGTTGTTAGTGTTGGTGTTATTGCAAGGGCAACAATACGGCGGTCTTCCTCCAGGTCCTCCCCAATATGGTGGTCTTCCTCCCCCATAAGGTGGTCTTCCTCCCCCATAAGGTGGTCTTCCTCCCCCATAAGGTGGTCTTCCTCCCCCATATGGTGGTCTACCATATCCGCCATATCCACCATACCCGCCATAACCACCATATCCATCATGTCCACCATATCCTCCATGTCTTTTACCATATCCTTCTAATTCTTCTAGATTTTCATCAGGTTGTTCAACTACAAAACCGGCATCATCGTTATCAACAGCTTCCTGGTCAAAGTCTGGTATATAAATTAAAATATATTAATTTGTTAGCATTTTAATATGTTTAAAATAACAAACCTTCATGTCTTTTATGATGCTTTTTCTTGTTATGGGAGTGGGAAGACCCAGCAACAAGAAGAACGGAGAGGTAAACCAACCCGATAACTATAAGAATTCTCATGTTTTCTCAGAAAATTAACTGATACCTTAGGGTCTGTAAAATGACTCTTATATAGTTAGTTTGGAAATAAAATTGATGGTTGCAAATTCTTTTTTTAATAAGAACACTGGCAAAAAAAAAATTCTTTTAGAATAAATACACGAATATTATTACTCAAAATAGACAAGCATATAATATAAACCGATAAATCAATCATACATACAATTAATATTTCTAAAATATTCACATTTTAGAAAAATTTACTAAACACATGTATAATTTAAACAATAAAAAAGAATTTGCAACCATCAATTTTAATTTCAAACCAACTATATAAAAGTCAATTTTATTCCCTATATTATCAGTTGATTTTCATTTTGGAAAACATGAGAACTCTTATAGTTATTGGGTTGGTTTACCTTTTCGTTCTACTTGTTACTGGGACATCTCATTCCCATAACAAGAAAAAGCAGCATAAACGAAGCGAAGGTTTGTTATTTTAAAAGTCTTAAAATATTAAGTAATAAATTAGTTTAAAACATTTAAATTAAAATTTAAAGTTGATAATGATGTAAATGGGGAACTTGATGAAACCCCAGAAGGATTTGAAGAACATATTAAAAGACATGGAGCATATGGTGGGTATGGTGGACCTGGAGGTCGACCACCATATGGAGGAGGAAGGCCACCATATTGGGGAGGACCTGGAGGGAGACCACCGTATTGTTGCCCTTGCAATAATACCAACACTAATAATAACACAGTATTCTAAATTGGAAAATTAACCTTGTGTACTGGGATGGTATTAATAACTTAAGACGTCTTATATTCTGTAAAATCATTAATTAAAAAGCATTTAAAAATCTAACGAATAGTTTAATTATTTTAAATCCAATTTTCACTCAATAAAGTATCAAGCAAAATTTTAAAAATTTAATGTCTGCAGTAAGAAAATTAATTTGATAAGATTGAGCAAGAACAAAGCTCCATTACTAAGGATGTCTGCTATGTATGTTAAGCACAACAGGATTTTTTGTAGAAACTATTAAATGAATGTCAGAATCGCAAAATAGCATGTTTTGGCAGATAATTTCTTAATTTTTTATCCAAAATCCAACACAGATAAGAATGACTGCAAATGCGGCAGTCAATGTTACTTCCAGTTTGACCAGTCTAATAGTTCCCACAATTGCATGATAGATCCGATAGATGAGGAGTTCAAGAAATTCCTTGAAACGTCTTTTACATTTAAATTTTTAATATGCAATCAATAAAAACAAATTAAATTATGCAGCATAAACTTTATTTTATATGTCTGTACATTTGTATAATAACATTTTATATAGTTGGAGTTGCTTCTGAACTGGTTGAAGAAGTTGATTCATCTGTTATAGGTGGGGTTATTTCACTTGTAGATGTAGATTCCGTACTAGTACTACCAGTAGTTGGTGGTTGGCAAGGACAACATACTGGAGGTCTTAACCACCATGGTTTTCTCAAACCAAATAGACGTTTAGATTCATTTAATTCGTCATCTAAATGAATAACTTATCGAAGTAATAAAATTCTTCTAAATATTGAAATTAAATTACCTTTAGCATCGTCGTGAAGTTTATGTTTCTTTTCGTGAAGTTTTTTAAAATGGTGTTCTAAATAGGAATGCTTTTAGAAAAAGAATATAATAATCTAAAAGATAATTACCTCCTAAAGCTAGAGACACGATAAGGCACAAGAAAACTACAATTAGGAACTTCATGTTGCTTAAAATTTGTTATGACTTGAAAAGCAAATGACTCGGTATTTATACACATTAGAAGAATCTAAATCATGTATAATACGTAAAAACAGTACTTTAAAAAATTCTTTCAAAAAAGTCTGTTACGGTAAAGTTTTGTCATAGTTGGATGGGTTTTAAATGTTGTTATGCATAATTTGAAAACTAAAGCGAAAGATATGTTTGAAATAGAATATTTATTTTAATGTATGCACATAACATTAGCATATGTCAGCTTATTTTAGCTTCTTTATTAAGTTGAAGCGGTGGTTGAGCTTGAAGTACTACTCCCTGTTGTAGATGTAGTACTTGGGGTTGTAGATGTGGTGCTTGGAGTTGTTGTAGATGTAGTACTTATTGTAGTTGTGGGGCGTGCACAAGGGCAACAACCCCACCATTTGAAAAATCTTTTATTTCCATGTGAAGAAATTTCATGATGTTTTTCAGCAAAATGATCTTGATGTGCTATTAATAAATAGTATATAAATAAATCCAGCCTAGATATAAAAAATTTGACTGTATTTACCTGTTACAATCACAGCCAATAATAAAACAATATAACAAATTATTAAAGTTTGCTTCATAGTGAACATTAAGTTGCTTGAAACTATCTATTTCTTCGACGAACATGAAACCCTATTTATATCAAAAAGTAAGGTGTTATTTAAATTTTTTGCATAATTCTAATAAAGATAATAAAATAGGCTCAACGTATTTCATGTCATTTCGTTTTTAATATAAATCAGATTTTATGGCTACTTTGTTCAATTTGAACGGATACTATGTGTTGAATGTATATTAAAAGGAGGTCATTTAAGTTATTAAAAAAGTAATTTAAAGTTTATAATTTAATAAAATACATGAATACTTTGTGTTACTAAGTATTTTTTTAATTTTTATTTTGAAAAAGTTTCCATAAAAAATAATACAAATAACAATCGCATGAATAACTCTTTAACAACCCGTTTAGTTTTAGAAAAAAACAAAGTTGTTACATTTTATTTTTTTACAACCACTATCTTGCTGTCATGCGGAGGTTCTTCAGTTGGAATTTCAACAGTTGATTCCTGATTTGGAACGTTATCAATAGATGGAGTTTCTGTGTTAATCACTTCAGTGATTGGAACTGGATCGGCTGAAATAATCTGTTTGATTCTACTATAATTTTTTTATTATATTACATACCTCCGTCTTTTTTCAAATGATGGCCTTTTACGTGGTGATGATTACGATGATGTTTTTCAACATGGCCTAGTATAAAATACCTTAATAATAAAAGTAGTTAAAAAATTAAACATTCTTACGTCCATATGTCATTGAAACCACAAAGCACACAAAAACGATAGTAATAAACTTCATCTTAACATATGTTGAAATGATGTTTTGAAATGGTTAACTGTGTTTTATACCTGATGTAAAATATTTAAACATTTTCAAAAATATGTTGTACGTCATAAGTCTTTGTAATCTGAGAATACTGTGACTCAACTTGAAATTCTTAGAGATAATATTACTATGTTAATGATAAGTTTTTTGTTTTAATGTGTTTACGCATTTTCTATTTTAATAATATAACCAATGAAAATGGAAATATAATTGGAAATTTATTTTTGAGGAACTCTAAAACAAACTAGCTTTTGTATATATAATGCAATTTCGCTTTCTTAATATGAATAATTTAATAGATTTAATAAACAAAAATAAATTAACAATAAAATCGTTATTTTCAAATCTTAATATATCATTTACATGATTAACATACACTATATTTTTTATTTATTAATGTAAAATTTCTGGACTATTAGTAGTTGATGTTGAAGTACCATTACCATTTTCAATTATACTCTCTGTTGCAGTCTCATTTGTAAAAGGTGTTGTGGTAGAAATACAAGGACAACAAATGCGATGTGGCTTAAACGTTTTGTTATGATGCCAATGTATTCCATGATGAATTTTATGTTTATCATAATCAAAATGTGCTACAAATTTAAAAATAAAAAATTGATTTATACACGCACCTAAAGATCTTACTCACCTGTTGTAAGCACAACAACAATAAAAATTGCTAAACACGCTACCAAAAACGTCTTCATTTTCAGCTTAATCTTTACAGGAAATACTTTGCAATGTGTGATTTTTAAAAATTCACTGCGTTACTTAAATACATCGAAAAGTAGGGTATTTATTTAGATTTTTTACATATTGGGTTGAATTTGATTTACACATTAGCGCGCTCTCTATTTTATAGGCTACCTATAGTACAAAATTAATTACATTTTTGTTTGATTTGACGTTCAATTTGTTAAGTTTGTTTTATCAATTTTTATCAATTCAGGTCATATTCTTGTTTTATTGCCATAAAACATTTAGAAAATAAAAGAAAATTAATCATAATACTTATAACCCATTTATTTGAAAAATTAACACACATTTTAGAAGGGTTTTGTTGTTGAGTGGTTATTTCTACACTTGGAAAATCATTAAACGTGGGCTGTTCTGTTGAAGGCAATCCTGTATATGGATTAGGCTCAGCTATAAAAATATTGTTGTGTTCAAATTTGTTTACAACATTTTGATAACCTTAGAAACCTTTTGGTGCATTTAATATTGAATCTTCGTCAATTTTTGTCAATTTGTATTATTTTATATACCACCGTCTCTCTTTACATGATGGTTCTTTTGGCGTTGATGGGTTTTATGCCGCTTAAAAGGTTGGCTTGATGTGCTTGAATCTGAACCGGGTGGGCTACCAGAAGTATTGTTGTCAAGTTCTGTAATTGGAGTAATTGGATCTTCTGTCCGTGGTGTTAAGTCACCTACAATAACAATAATAAATTTTTGTTGACTACAGAAAACGGAAATATTAAATAAAAAGCCAACATAATATAAGTTAACTCAAGTGGTCGCTGCTTGCAATTTTTTTATTGCACTTATATAATAACAACATTTACAAAACGTATTTAAGTGGCGCTGGAATGGGCGAGAGAGAGTGAAAAAGTAGACCGTTCAATCCACTCATTAGAATGAGTGCCTTTTTATCAGAACTGTTCGTGATAATTTGAATTAAAAGAAAGAAATATGTCAGAAAAGAACTGGTTACTTCGATTTTACGGCGTGTCTCTATAAGTGTGAGTGAGAGAAATGCACTTCATTTCCTTAATGACATGACATTCTAGAAGCTGCTAATCGTAATCCTATACAGTATGTGATTAGCAGAATAAGAGAAAATCTGCACATAAATAACAGAATACAATTCGCCATAATATTACAATTTACTAAAAGCATTCACTATTGATGACAGTCAATTGCTTAATAACTTGAAAATAATTTCGTTTCCTACTTTCTATCATTGGTATGGAAGCAAAGTCTGCAATAATTAGATTAACTCAATACTGAACCTGAACCATACCTCAAGGAACCTTGGTGCAATGCAATATTCATCAATTATGTGTTGTTTAGTTCTAATCTTAGCTCACTTTAATAGAAGACTATATACTAGAGATATTGCCAGCAATTAGCACTTCATAGTGCTGTTATAAGTCTAAAGTATTTTGGTGGTAATATTAATATCGCAAAACTCTTCCTACTAGTGCCAAGTGTAGTTCTGCTGACATTGAGGTTGCCCATTTAAGCGTCGCACCATGTACTTTAAGTACACAGCATCTGAGTTGGCTATTGACGGATTACACATCATTCATCCATAAAATTGCAACTACATATTTCAATTCCATTTTAAGCAGGCAAAGGACGATGCTCAAAGACTTTTGTAGAAGTAATTCCTGTACGATAATAGATTCAAGCATTGAATGCTTGACCTCCTAGCACCCCTGCTGCTTTGCAACGAAATAATCCCAGATTAGGAGTTGAAAAGATACCCAGGATTTTAGTAATATACTCAAAAGCACATACAAAAATTTGAAAATAAGAAAAATTATTCAGCTCACGTGTTGCAAAAATGTAAATCAAACAAAATGCTAGTTTTAATATGTAATATCTCAAAAAAAAAACTAGCTTTTGTATATGTAATGCAATTTCGCTTTCTTATCTGCGCAATTTCTATCTGAAGCCATCCACAAAATTATTATTATCAACCAGTATGAATAATTTAATAGATTTAAAAAACAATAATAAACTAACAATAGAATCTTTATTTTCTAATCTTAATACAGCATTTACATGTTTAATATACACTATATTTTTATTTATTAATCTAAAGGTCTCCTTGTAGTAGTTGATGTTGAAGTAGTATCATCAGTTGAACTGTCAATTATACTCTCCGTTATAATCTCGGTTGTAGTGGATGTTGTAGTAGAAGTACAAGGACAACAAATGCGATGTGGCTTAAACGTTTTGTTATGATGCCAATGTATTCCATGATGAATTTTATGTTTATCATAATCAAGATGTGCTACAAATTTAAAAATAAAAAATTGATTTATGTACGCACTTAAAAATCTTACTCACCTGTTGTAAGCACAACAACAATAAAAATTGCTAAACACGCTACCAGAAACGTCTTCATTTTCAGCTTAATCTTTACAGGAAATACTATACAATGTGTGATTTTTAAAAATTCAACGCGTTACTTAAATACATCGAAAAGTAGGGCACTTATTTAGATTTTTTACATATTGGATAGAATTTGATTTACACATTAGCGCACTCTCTATTTTATAGGCTGTAGTACAAAATTTATTACATTTTTGTTTGATTTGACGTTCAATTTGTTAAGTTTGTTTTATCAATTTTTATCAATTCAGGTCAAATTCTTGTTTTATTACCATAAAACATTTAGAAAATAGAAGAAAATTAATCATAATACTTATAACCCATTTATTTGAATAATTACTACAATTATTCTAATTTAATTTCGTAATAATATTGAACCCGATTGATTAATGTATATAATTAATTACATTTTACTAATAGAAATAATAACACTTATACAATCACTATACTTGATTCTGTAGTTGGATTGCTATTTTCTGGAGAAAAATATGATGAAGTTTCTGGATCACTGACTTCTATAATTGAACTGCCATCACCTTAACAAACATAATAAATAAATCATTATGTTTTATTAACTCCTTAAATTCTTAATTTATTTATAAAAAAACTCAAAATTAGATACCTCCGTCTCTTTTTAAGTGATGTTTCTTTTGGTGATGGTTTCTATGACGTTTAGAAGGGTTTTGTTGTTGAGTGGTTGTTTCTACACTTGGAAAATCATTAAACGTGGGTTGTTCTGTTGAAGGTAATCCTGTATATGGATTAGGATCAGCTATAAAAAAATCTAAAATAAAATTTACGATTGCATTGAAGCTTTTTTAGTGTTCAAATATTTAACGTTGAAAATCTTCTTCGTTAAAGTCTTCAGAAAAGAAGAAAGAAAACATGCACGTTGTTTTCGTTGAAAACCCTTAGAAAAGCCTTACTTGAAAAACTTTTATGGCCTAGGTATACCCTGGATACGTTTAGAAATCACTAGATGTTTTTGAAAACCGAAGAAATCGTTAAAATGATTTAAAAAGAATCTTAGAATCTATGTAAACTTTTTGACAATTCTTAGAAAGTTTTAGATGGTCCTGGAAATATGGAAGAGAGTTAATCTTCAAGTAACCATTTTTCTGTTTAATAATTTATGAGAAAATATGTCCGTATTTTCCAAACAAAAACTAAAGTGTGGTGATTTTTCTAAATATATTTGTCCAAATAGAAAACATAAATCGGATTCTAAATACACTGAAATATAGGCAACCACTTATACACCAATCAGTTCTGTTATATTATAGTGTGGAGTTTTGTGCAAATAGTTCTTAAAAAAATAAATTTAAGAAATAACTAAGTTAATTTTATCATGTTATTATCTTTATAAAATAAATAACTTCGAAGTGACAAGAATTAAGTGCAATCTTAAAATTCAAGAAGATACTTATTAAAAGATAACTACAACCACACTGATTTCTTATAAAAGTTATTTGTGAAATAAAGACAAAATTGTGGAGTTTAAGAAATTATATATGCAATAAAGTAATTCTCTTCTTCCTCAAGTTTAGACTAATTTTTGTCAATTTGTATTATTTTACATACCACCGTCTCTCTTTGCATGATGGTTCTTTTGACGTTGATGGGTGCCATGACGCTTAAAAGGTTGGCTTGATGTGCTTGAATCTGAACTGGGTGGACTACCAGAAGGATTGTTGTCAAGTTCTGTAATTGGAGTAATTGGATCTTCTGTCCCTGATGTGAAGTCACCTACAATAATAATAATAACTCTCATCATAGATAAACTTAAAAAACGACTAAAAACAGAAAAACGGATTTGGGTGAGAAATTGGATGAGCGAATGAAATACAGAAGATCCCTCCGCATACAAGTTGGCAATGAAAATGATTAGATGAGCATTGATGAGATGTCCCACAAACACACTTGTTTTCTGTATAATGAAACAAACTGAAGAGTTTGGTTTTCAGTTAACTTTATTACACTATTCAAGTAGCGCTGGAATGGCCGAGCTAAAGTGAAAAAGTAGATCGTTCCATCCAGTCTGCAAAATTCTTTTCTACTGGTGCCAAGTGAAGTACTATATTTGAGTCATTTGAGCGTCATACCATGTACTTTAATTAGATGATACAGTATCCCAGTTGGTCATTGATGGATTAAACATTGTTAATCCATAAAACTGCAACTATTACAATTCTATTTTAAGCAGGCAAAGGACGATGTTCTCACAGGACATGGTTGGACTCTGAGAGTCAGGTGATTTTGAGTAGTAGAATAAAGAAAACGTTGGAGATCTTACGACTAACACATTTTTTCTAATACTACTTATTCTTATTAAATATTTCTTTGAAACACAAGTTATAAGCCGAGAACAAAGGAAATATAAAAGAAATGATCAGCAGATTCTTTTGTAATCGCCGTAATAAATTAATGCGCTCAACTAGAGATAATTTAGTCTAGTATCAATATTCATTGTATTAGATTCAGTGTCTTTTTGTAATCAAGTTTAAAATAAATAAGTTTTTAACTTTTTAAAAATAGTTTCACTATAACGAAAAAGTTAACTCACATTTTGTTGTTAATCTATTGTACGACTTAAATTAAAATTTTGACACTTACCATCTCTTTTTAAGTGATTTTTCTTGAAATTCCGATGTTTTGCGTGGCGTTTAGAATTGTATGAAGTAGTTGATTCCGCATTAATATTTGAAAAGCCATCGGAATTAGGATTAGTATTATCAGTAGTCGTCAGATCACCTAAATATATAAATAAATATTTGTTTTTAAATTTTGAATCATATTCATACCTCCGTCTCTTTTTAAGTGATGTTTCTTTTGGTGATGGTTTCTATGACGTTTAGAAGGGTTTTGTTGTTGAGTGGTTATTTCTACACTTGGAAAATCATTAGACGTGGGCTGTTCTGTTGAAGACAATTCTGTATATGGCTCAGCTATAAAAAAATTAAAATAAAATTTATGATTGCACTGACGTTTCTTTAGTGTTCAAACATTTATTTAAAAATCGTCTTTAATTTGTTTAATCAATGAAGTAATTTTCTTCTTCGTCAAGTTTAGATAAATTTTTGTGAATTTGTGTTATTTTACATACCACCGTCTCTCTTTGCATGGTGGTTCTTTTGGCGTTGATGGGTTCCATGACGCTTAAAAGGTTGGCTTGATGTGCTTGAATCTGAACCGGGTGGACTACCAGAAGGATTGTTGTCAAGTTCTGTGATTGGAGTAATTGGATCTTCTGTCCCTGGTGTTAAGTCACCTACAATAATAATAAGAGTAATAAATTTTTGTTGATTACAGAAATATTAAATATAAGTTAACTCAAGTAGTCTATAGTCGCTGCTTGCAAATTTTATATTGCACTTATACAGTACATAATAACATTTACAAAACGTCCATAGAGAGATGATGGAATATTAAATTAAGCAAAAATGCAGTTGTTTCAATATAGCGCTTAATTCCAGGATTACGCAATTTTAAATTTGGTAAGAAATTCGTCATAATGATGGGCGGTAATTGACACATATAAACTGTCAGCATAGATAAATTAAAAAAGAAAGACAGATTTGGTTGAATAATTGGATGAGTGAAAGTAATACAAAGGGAGGTTCGATGCTTTTGTGACAGCTGAAGACATAAAATCCCTCTGAATACAGGTTGGCAATGAGAATGATTAGATGAGATATCCCACAAATACAATAGTTCTTTGTATAAAGAAACAAACTGAAGAGTTTGGTTTTCAGTTAACTTCATTATGGAATTATGGAGCCAGAACAATGCATGTTCACTGTTCACTGTTCACTGTTCACTGTAATCCTATACAGTATGTGATTAGCAGAATAAGAGAAAATCTGCACATAAATAACAGAATGCAATTCGTCATAATATTGCAATAATTACCCTTTAGACTTATAATAGCACTTCATAGTGCTATTATAAGTCTAAAGTGTTTTGGTGGTAATATTAATATCAAAAAATTGGTGGTAATAGCAAAACTTTTTCTACTGGTGCTAAGTGCAGTTCTACTGACATGGAGGTAGATGATACAGTGTCTGAGTTGACTATTTTGTAGAAGTGTTTCCTGCACAATAATGGATTCCAGTGTAGAATGCTCAATATGGGGAATATAAGGCGTGCTTTAGGAGTCGAGAAGATACCCAGGTGAACATGGTTGGACTCTGAGAGTCATGTGATTTTGAGTTAATCTTACTGAGACAATACAATAAAGAAAACGTTGGAGATCTTAAGACTAACATATTAAAATTAAAAATGTTGACACTTACCATCTCTCTTTAAATGATTTTTCTTGAAATTGAGATGTTTTGCGTGGCGTTTAGAATTGTATGAAGTAGTTGATTCCACATTAATATTTGAAAAGCCATCGGAGTTAGGGTTAGTATTATCAGTAGTTGTCAGATCACCTAAATATATTATAAATAAATAATTGTTTTTAAATTTTGAATCATTTTCATACCGCCATCTCGCTTTAAATGATGTTTGTTTCGATCATCATGAGTTTTATGGTGTTTGGTAATATGGCCTATAAATAAAATTAAAAAAATCAAATAATTATGCTACATAATGTAAAAATTCTTACGTCCATAAACCATAGAGAAACAAACGAGTGTTGTAAAAGCGGTTATTGTAAACTTCATGTTGATTGTTTAATACTGCTTTTTGAAATATCTTTATTGGCTTTTATAGTAATTGAAATAATGTTATACATTTTAAATACGCTGATATTGTTTTTTTTTTATTTGTTTCTAAAAATTATTCCAACATTTTGTTTGTCATATAAATATGACAAGCAAAGTTTAAAAAAAGGCTAAAAGAAATTCTATAAATTTTAATTTTAAAAAATTTTTGAAATTTTATTAAGGTGACTAATCAAAGCATTCGTTTTATAATTCTTGAACGGAAAACATACTAAAACGTTAACTCGTGTGGGTTACGTAGTATATCCCTCAATCATACACACCACGAAAATCAACGTGCAAACCATGTTAATTCAAAACTAAATTAAACCAGAAAGGAATTAATTACCTCTAATAATCGCGTTTTGGGCGTAATATTTACCGCGCAGTCGTGCGCCTGTGGTGTTATTACAACATACAATGCACAAGCCACCAATACAAGCGTACGATTTCTCGTTTGTTACAGGTTTGAACCGGTTGGCCCGCCCGCACAAAACGGTTAATACACATGGGTTTTAATCAAGTGCGGCCGCAAAAGTGCGTTTGCGGCGCATTATGCACAAATTACACAATTACCACACTGTTGCCCCGTTAATTCGTTCCGATTGTTTTTCCTGTCGACGTTCGCTTTACAGGATAATGGGAACCGACTGTTTCGTTTAATTTGATTTCAGGAGCAAAAGCCAAAAACGAGAGAAAACTTGGTTGGGATTTGAAATTCATATTGACTTTTAAAACGTGATAACGGATGTTTTATTTTTTGCAGGATGATGAGGACGTCGATGACGAAACGGAAATAAACCAGGGACATTTAAAGGAAGCCCTCAAGACAACCAGGCCATCTTTAACATTGGAAGATAGGCGTAAATATGATAGAATGTAAATGACGTTCTTTTAGTTTGATTCTTAATAAAAATTATTCTTTTTTTGTTCTTTTTAGATACGCCAAGTTTCAAGCAAATGAAGATCTTTTAGAGTTACAAGGGGGTAAACAACGAGCTACTTTAGCTTAATGATATATATTATATAAAAATGGGGTTGAAAATTTAATGGATTTTTTATTGTGGTTACATTAAATTTGTTTCTTGTTGATGTACAGTTTCTATTCGTTATGTTCCTTTATTGTATTGATTTGGTCCACTCGTAAGAGTCCAATTTCGCCAATCCAATTATATCGTAACAGTTTGCTTTCTTTCCATTACAAAGCGGTATTTGGGGTAAAAACACTCGGTGTCTATTCAATTGTGGGAACGAATTATGTCTTTACATAACAATAATATAGAATTTTGTTACTAAGTTGTTAATAAATGATTAGTCATTTCGTTCAATCGAAAAATATTTGTCATATTCGTTATCGTTTAAAACATTTTAAATTCTTTTACCATTACCTGTCGCATTGGTTTTCTTTACAACGTGGAAATTTTAATATTAATAAGACGCAAAAGTTTAAGGAGGATTACCGTTTATTTTAGAAAAGCTCGATGCTGAAAGCGAGAAGAGACACCGAGGGTAAGAGAAGAGATAAATTATGAACGGTCGCGAAGAGTGAGGAGGATTTAATTTCATAAATCCCCGCATAACTCAAATTGCGTTATGTATTTACATTTTCCAGGACGCGGTTTCGAATGGATCCGTAAACTAAAATATAAAAGGATCGCGAATACCCCTCTCCACGTTCGTACGCGTGAGCAACCGCCAAAGAAGAAATAACCTCCGGCTCTATTTCAAAACCCGGAACCCGCCCTTCGAAGTGTAGAGCGGCGTCTCACAAACATTTATCCAATTCCAAGAAATATTGGGTATCCCTTTCTTTTCTATTGTTGCAATTTTTAATTTATTATTTACGTTTTGTTCATAAAAGTTAAAATGATGATATTGAAAACTGAATGTCATGCGGAAATAACCGGTAATCTGATTTTGAGCGGGCGACGAGCCCACTCAACTGCGAAGAATTACAATCATACCGGAAAAATAGAAAAACGTGCCACAACGCCATCAAAATTAGTGAATATTGGCGGAAAATATGAAGCAGCGTTACTCTCATTTGCAATATACATTATCCTTCGCGCAAATTTTTTTATCACCTCGTTTCTATTTGAAATTAAATTCCCATTTAAAAATATACAATTCGAACGTAATCTCAACTTTAACGTACTAAAAATGTCAGTAATTAACAAATTAAGAACGAACAATTTGCTAGATGAGATGGAATATGCCCAATGACGCATGGGATTGAGCAAAGAGCAACAGTGTTCGGCCAACAATCCCTAATTTAAATCACACAGTACCAACTGATCGATAATCCATCCGACCAAATTAGTAATCATTCAACCATTATACATCACTTGGGGCATATTGTTAAGCCGAATGGGAGGTGATGGTCCTAGCATCATTTCCCAAAATGCATTAAAAGTAATCCCCTCTATATAACGGACTTAACGTACAAAGTATTTTTAAGTCTAATTGGCAGTATTGATAAACTTCGCTAGTGTTGACTCTGTGTTCATCGTGTAAATGTTGAATTCAGGTATGAATGTTTTATAAAAAAAACTACACAATTTGAAACGATGAAAGTGATATATTAATTTATTTCTGTGCTACGATCGTTTCGACCAATAAGTCGTGGTGTTACAAATGGAGACAGCAAATTGTTAATTCCGAATATTAAGCTGATAATCTCACGAGATGCACTCTATCGGAGCAACATGTACTAAATAACCCTCTGGGTAGCAGTATAAAGATGTAGTCATGTAAAAACAGTCAGGTAGGGAAAAAGAACAAACAAAAACAAACAGGAAAGTCAATAAAATCCAAAAGTTAAAATGCAGCATAACTAACAAACTTTATACAACCGTTTTAGAAGTGCCTGATGAAGACCAACATATTGGTCGAAACGATCGTAGCACATAAATAAATTAATATATCACTTTCATCGTTTCAAATTATATAGTCTTTTATAAAACATTCACACCTAAATTATGGCACTTCCCTAGTGTTACTTGTAAGTCAATAAAATTTTTCTTGACCTCCATATCCATATAATCTTTGATAATAAACGGATTACGAATCCATGCCTTACTTCTATCAGGAAGTGGAAAATATTCTCTGAAGGTGCTTCATAGATTTACCAAATGACACCTAATTAGTTGTTTTAAAATGTTGACAAGTTTTGAAATGATTCCACATTTCCGCTTTTGAGTCGATTCTCCCATAATTCCAGTTTCAAAATAGTTGCTTCAATCTTGTCTTCTACCTGGAAACAATTTACATTTACACCTTGTAATTTTACATTCAAATCATTGAGATGAGTAAAGATGTCGGATAAGTGCGCCAGTTTGATAAGAAATGTAGAATTATTTAAATTTTGTGGGGAAAATTTATCAGAGCGATGGGATTGCAAACGTTGTTCTTCCATTAAGAATACATTGACTTCTTTATGTAATTCCCAAAGACGAACCAGTGCTTTTCCCTTCGAAAGCCACCTTACATTTGTATGCATTAGCAGTGCATAGTGATCGCTTCCCATTTCTTTGTATAATTGTGAAAAAAGCCGCGTGTTCAGCGCTCTACGTTTAATAAAATTTATTATTCTGATACACTTATGTAAGACCGCTTTTAATTCTGCAGAAATTCTTTTTGTAACCAACGCTTCTTGATGTATACCACAATGGTACCACTCTGCAGATGAAGATACTTACTTGATACCTGTTATTCTTCCGGATATAGCTTTGGCACCGTCTGTGCTTAGACCAACACATTTCGCCAATCGATTTTATTTTTATTGAAAAACGTATTTAATTTTTGAAAAAATTCTTTTGCGGTGGTATTAATTAAGAACGGCATCTTCATGCTTGTACCTCATACAGCACAATAAAACTGCCTGACTAGATACGTCCGTTGTTTCATCCAACTGTACCAGTATAGCAAACCAAGGTGATACACGAACTCGTTGTATTAATTGATCTTTTATGTTTTCTGCCATATTTTGAATTCTTCTTTGCACTGTATTGTTTGACAACGGAATTTGTGTAATTTCTTTGGCAGCTTTATTATTGCAGACACTATAATTTTTGCTTCTGGTAATATGAGGTCTCCAGCAATAGTATGAGTTTTACCTTTTTGAGCTATTAGTTGAAATTAGGTCATTATGGCTGAATGGTTTGATGCTGGTATGGCAATGTGGGACACGCTTCTTCGAATGTTCTTTAATTGTTATTCTTTCTTTTTAAAAAAATCCGTGGTTTTTTGCTGAAACTCTTTGTGCTTTGTTTCAAAATGGTGTCTTAACTTAGCTGATTTTATGGAATCATTTGCTAGAACCTGGCTGGAAATAACTCACTGCGGTCGTGTTTTTCCAGATTCCGAGGACAGAAATTCTGTAAAACCAAAGGATAAATATTCTGCGCTGTATTGACGGACTTTCTTCTTGATAAGAAGTTTTACAAAGAAAGTTACAAACAAAACGGCATCTAAATAACAGTATTCTTTCATTTCGAGTTAAAACCGATTTTGCTACGTGGAATTTGAGTAACATTATCTGTTGTAAAATAAAGAATTACACTTTTTTTAATGGATAATTGTTATATTTATGTTCTACCGGTTTCGACTCAACATAGAGTCATCTTCAGGAACGCGTCATAATTTGAAAAAAAGCCCTGGTATCACTATTAAACATTTGTTCGTGATTAAAAATTAAGGAAATCAAAAATTTAATAAATGCGAATGATGAGCGATGAATCTTCTGACGATTCATCACTCATCGCATCCGCCCATAATTGCGCATTTATTAAATTTTTGATTTCCTTAATTTTTAATCACGAACAAATGTTTAATAGTGATACCAGGGCTTTTTTTCAAATTATGACGCGTTCCTGAAGATGACTCTATGTTGAGTCGAAACCGGTAGAACATAAATATAACAATTATCCATTAAAAAAAGTGCAATTCTTTATTTTATTTTAATACGAATGATGGAAACAAATAATAATTACACCAAAATTATCTGTTGTTCCATTACACTGTATAATAAAAAAGTAGAAATGTATTCGCCTTTGTATCATCTACTCACCAAATATTGCTTGAAAAAATGTCAGTATTGAGGTTTTTCTTCTTTAAACGATTTTTGCGAACCTAAGAACACGAACACTTATAGATTTAAAAGAAGAAATAGAAAGAAGAGTTAACTTTTAACAACAAAGTAATCGCTAAGAAACAAAATAGGAAAATTAAAAAATTCCCAAAATAAGTAATACTACCAACCAATTAGTTAATTTCGTATGTTGTAGTTTCAATTTTTACTTTTTTGTGATTTATTTGTCTACATTATTTTTCACAAATGCGCCGTGGACCCCTAGTATTGTGGCAGTGGACCCCTAGGGGCCCAGGCACCCCTTATTGGAAATTGCTGCCTTAAAATGAAAATTAAACGAGAATTATACACAAAAAAGTTTTTTTTTCGTTATTTGCAGATGACTAGCTACAGAAGATAAAAATTTGGAATTACTGACAGAGAATTACCATGCTCATATGCTGCTAATGTAAGATTAGGTATTGCTAACAGAGGCCTAAATGCTGTTTAGAGGAGACTAAGTTCTGCTAGCTGAAGACTATATACAGTGTGCAAATGACTGGATATTTCTGGCGGACGACTGGATGCTACTTATAGATGACTAGATACTGATACTAGAGAAACAAATGCTACTAATGGTAGACTAGACACTGCTATTGATATTAGTACGTTATATCGAGGTGTTATTGTTTTAATCACAGAGTATACAAAACAAAGTATACTTGGTTGCCTAATAAAATAAAATTCTTTACAATATTTCATCAACAAAATTGTTCAATAAAAAAAAATTAAATTTTTAATGATTTATTAGTAAAATTTTCCACAGGTAATTCGTTGGCGTCAATTTTAATGTAGGGTTTGAGGACGATGACGACGCCCGCGGGATTGTATTTCGACGAAGGGAGGCGTGAAACAACGTGGGCGGTGGTGAAATTGTCTCGCCGCTCCTTAAATTGTTTCATGCAGACGATTAGAACTCGGCCAGCCGTAAGATAACAATGTTATCGTGAAAATTGTGCTTGATGGAAATTCGCAGCTCCACCGACATCCCCTTTTCCCGGCACCTCCACACCTTTTTCCATCGTTCTCGTCCCTCAACTTCCCGGACAGAACCCGACGCGATATTCTCAATTTCTTTTTCGAAAAGGCGGTTAATGATATCTGTGGGCAATCTGTATAATT